CACCTTCATTGCTCTGATCCCAGACTCTCTGATCCCATGTGAAGTTTGCAGGGCTCTCGGTTAAAGATATCTCCCCACATCTGTAAAGCAAGTACATTCAACGTAGCATCATTGAGAGACAAACATAGAACCCCCACCAGCGCCACTTTTATCAATTCGCTTTTCAGAACCAAACCCTGCTTTAAGTTTATAGCCAGTGCGATGGGTTACACTTCCGGAGCTTCAGTAAAGGTATATAGTAAATAGGATTGAGGTCTTTCATATGTTTCATGACATCACCGTTAGTTTTCAAAAAGCTCTAATCAGTCATATCTTGCAGCATAGTTTGAGGACCCAAACCATAAAATTAGATACAGCTCCAAACTTCCCCAAACCCTTCTCCAGTTTAGAGCTGGGGTTGTGGTTGATGTGACGTTACCAATAGGTCTGTTTATTAACTTTCAGCTGTTGCACTCCACTGTCAGTGCATTTGTACACAGAAAAGTGACTATGGAAAAATGGCATCTTCCTTCCACATTTGTGCTCCCTATATCTTACTGACGAAAGTAGGTTTTTACTACTGTTTGTACTCTCTCCCCGCTGCAGCCCCAGGGCAGCCTGCATCCCAAACCCCTCATCGTCGGCCCCACCCCAGAGCCTTCACCCCTAGCCGGAGCCCTCACCCTGTTCACTCAACCCTCTGCCTCAGCCCCCTCCTTCATCCCAAACCCATCATCCCCAGCCCCACCCAAGCCCTTATCCCCCGACTCCCCAACCCTCTGCCCTAGCTCTGAGCCCCCTCTCGCACCGCAGTCTCATCCCTGGTCCCACCCCAGAACCCTCATTCTCCTCACCCCCCAACCCTCTGCCCCAGCCCTGAGCCCCCTCCCATACTCCGAACCCCACGGCCCCACCCCCACCACACATCACTTCCATATTGGTGCACATAAAATTAATTCCGCACATGGACATAAAAAATTAAAAGGGAACACTGACCATGCGTACAATAAAACTCCAGGTAACAACCCTTGTCCGAGTTGTTTCTGTCCACCAGGCATTGCCAAAACTACCTAAGAGATAGCACAATGAACGGTGGCAGGTTGTATGCTAGGATACCTACCAATGGTGCACTGCACGATTCATCAACACAAGCACTTCTGGTGAGTATGTGCAGCACTGACGCAAGGAGCCAAGTATGCACATGCACAAGTGATATACTGTGGTGGCTGTATGCCAATGTAACTTGCATCAGCAAAACTTTTATAGACATGACAGCAGTGCATGAGGAAGAACTGGGAGAACCACATGAAAGTAGTGACTCTACAGCATGCTCCACTCCACCCAAAGAAACCCTTGTATGCAAGGAATATGCTTTAGTGTCCTACTGGGGGAGGATGGAACCAGTGAGGAGCTACAGTGGGCACACCCCCTTGTCACATTTATCTCAGTCTCATGTAGTACTATGGAATTTTTCACTATTTCTGTTAGCAGCTAGATAGGGGCCAATACGGTGTGCAAGCAGATGTAAAGCACTCTAAGTCCCTGCACTCAATATCCAGGAGAGAGCAGTCTGCATGCAGCTGTTATATTCCCTTCTCCCCCTCCCCCCCCCCATGTGTAGGTGGGAGCAGCGGGGGAAAAACTGTTACCTACCTTTCATAGCTGTTGGTCTTAGAGATGCGTTGCTCCTGTCCATTCCATGTGTAACCCTAAGATGCTATGTCCAGCACCCAACGGTCCAAGGTGACTTGGGACCAGGCCAAACGGAAGGGACGAAGATGGTTGAGGAAAGAGTGGGGTGGATCCTGGAAGGTGATTGGGGCATTGCTCGCGACTGCAGCCTCAAAATGAGTGCTTCTGGCCCCTGGTGTGTTTTGCCAGGCTGGGCTGCGTGGGTAAGCAGGAGGAGGAAGGATGATAGTGGCTGAAACTAACATCTCTGACCCTTCTCCTTGCAGACCCTGGATGAGACTGCCAAGGCCTAGGAGGCGGGAGTGGCTGGAACCGCTTTCTCCCAGACTGTGGTGTATGCATGCCCAGCAAGCGAAGGGTGGTCCTGGTGTCCTTTAGCCCATGCAGCCTAGCATCCATCTGGTCCGAAAAGACATCCGTCCTGGATGGAGGTCTGCATTTCTTGGGAGAATCCGGTGGTCTGAAGCCAGGAGCTGCGCCTCATTACCACTGCAAATGCAACCAACCTGGCTGCTGAGTCTGCCACATACCATGCCATCTGGAGGGTGCACCTGGCAACTGCATTGCCCTCCTCCACCAGGGTTTCACATTCTTGGGGCAAACGCTGTGGGAGGGACTCCTTGAACTTATGGAGGGAGCCCATAAGTTAAAATTGTAACAGCCCAAGAGGATCTGATGGTTTGCCAATGGAATTGCAAACTGGTCATCAAATAAATTTTCCTTCCAAACAGGTCCAACCGTTTGGCGTCTCTGGGTTGAGCAAGTATGCCCCCGTTTGTCTCTTTCATTGGCCGCAGAGCCCACCAGCGAGCCTGGGGAAGGGTGGGTGTAGATGTATTCAAACCCTTTGGCAGGGATAAAGTATTTCTTTTCGGCCCTTTTTGAGGTGGGAAGAATGGAGGAAGGAGTTTGCCAGAGGGCCTTGTCAATCTTAAGAACACCATCATGCACTGGTTGTGCTACATGGGTTGGGGTAGAGACTAACAGGACATTAAACAAGGTGTCCAACTGCTCAGTCATTTCCTCCACCTTCAGGCCCAAGTTCTCCACCACCCAACACAGCAGGGCCTGGCGTTCTTAGAAATCATCCAGCAGGCTGGCCCTCGAGGGTCCTGCAACTGCCTCATCTAGGGACGAAGATGATGACTGCATCGCTGAGGGAGGCTCCAGGGCATGTTACCCCACAGGGGAGGAAGGCTCAGGGGTGGGTGCAGTTCCCTCTGCCTCGATCTCCGAGCATGCCTCATGCACTGAGCCTGGTGCAGTCTGTGCCACCAGCTGTTGCCCAATGAGCTTTGTGAAGGGGACATCGCCATAACTGGCATTTTGACAAATAAAATATGCAGAATTTTGGATTTTTTGGCACAGAATTTCCCCAGGAGTAAATTACTATAAATAAAGGATTTACAAGGCCCTAAGGCTTGAAGTCAGTAGATGAAAAACTGCTAGCCCTTGCCATGCAAGGAAAGGTACTCCGACTAACCCTCATGGATGGTAAGAAGGAACTGAGAGGGCGTAGGGTCGGCAGTGCCTGATATACCGGCGTATGAGCGTGTCACTCAAGTGGGTACCACAAAGGCAAAAAACTCAGAGGACCGCACGTGGGCGCGCACTCACCTAGAATGGAATCTACATGAGCAAGCACTCAAGGAATATGAAGAACTTTGACTTCACACCAGCTGGGCACTCCTGTGCTAATGGATTTATGCTCTATGAGGCTCAGGGTATGTCCCCCATCTGTGAACTAGTGTAAGCAGGAGGCAGATGATGACTGTCATAATTGCCTCCTGTCCTGGCAGCCACCCTGGGGTGTGTGCATTTCTGAAGAAAAGAGATTACATTCTCAAGTTCAACCTCTATGGTGATGGCATAACCAAGCAGCCCATCAGTCCTATCCTACTGCAGATCTTTAGACCCATGCAGAACCCATTGTAGGCACCGATGGGGAAGCTGGAGCTCAGGAGGTAGCTGACCCTTCTGCTTCACATGAGTGCATCTAGAAGAACAATCCCACCCAACTTGATTTCCTCCGATTGTACTGAAACTAGACCGAGGGAGAACAGTCCATTCTTACAACCAGGAGACAGACTCAGATCTTCCTGCTTTCATTCTTAGCTCTGCCACTGACCATGTATAATGTTGGTCATTTAACATTTTCATGCCTCTATTTACCCATATGTAAATTGGACCAAAACCCTTCTGAGGCTCCGTTAACTAATTTTGAAAATACTTTTGAGATCCAGGAAGGTAATTATAAAGCATAAATAATGACTTTAGTAACAATACCGCCTTACTGAAATCACGTCAAATTCTTGTTCACGGTTTGTTTTACACCTTGTAATAGGTTTGTATTCATTTAGTCTAAATTCAATTCTGCTGTGTCACACTGATTAAAACAGCCAGCCATGTACAGTACAGGAGGAAGGGAAAGATGTCACACTTAAACTGTGTGGAGCAGATGGGAGGAATTGTTGCACACTAAACTGACCTAATTCCTCAATCTGCCAGATTAAAGAAGGCGTTAAAAATGCTCAGAAATAATAAACTGACACACTCTTACTGATAGGTGCAAACAACTGCAGCACCTTTTTTTGATATAACTCTATTCCGTCAGGATTTAGTAATTAAATAAAGAGCATAAGCAACAAGACTGGAACTTATTTAAAAAAATCCCATGCACCTGAACCAGTGAAAGTATTAAAGTTGACTACAGACAATTTACTTCACAACAACCAATTCTGGAATATATTTAAGTCCTTAAAAAAGTTAATCTGTTTTAAACAGCATCACACACGTATGTGAGACCTGGCTTAGGAGGATTTTTCTCCCCAACCACTAGCGTGGGGAACTCCTATTCCCAGGGGTTGGGAGTGCTCTTCCCACACTGCTCCTACTGTTACTTAAAATATAAATAAATAAAAGTATGTTTGAGCATGGCATCTGGGAACCCCTTGGTAAGACAGGCAGTCCGGGGGCAATGGGACAGAATTGGGATAAAGTTACTGTTATCCAGGGAGACGGGATGCTCAATGGATTGATTGCGAGTGCCTCTGTATTCCAGTGAAGCTTCTCACACAAAGGCATAAGTGTGTGTTAGGAACAGAACCAGGCAAATGTCTCCAGATAGGGTTGTCCGAGGTGGATTCAGTGTTGACATGCAGCTGTGGTGGGATCTGTTTGTCCATAGCTGTCCCTCCGCATGCACCAAGGAAAACAGCAAAGAACAGAAGAGTGTTCTCTTGGTGGTACCGATGGCTGTGTCCCACGAGCCGTGGGATTCCCTCACAGATCAAAGATGCCGTGGCAAGTGGTGGGGCATTACAAGTCTGTTAAAGTCTCTCAGCTTTTATTAATTTGATTCCTGGTAATGTAAAACACCCCTGTAGCAGAAAGTCACACTGCTCATTCCCACATCATATGAAATCATTCACCATTTTATGTACAAGTTCTGAATTACAATCTTCAACTTTTCATCAAAAAACAAAAATAAAGCCTAAAAAAGCATTTTTTGGTAAAACTGCACAGTATACAGAAGCATACTTTCATTACACAATGTCTTACACAACACATACTTTGACAAAAAGCAGAACCTGTTACCGTTTTGAGAATGAGGAGGCAGCGCCCAGACAAAACTAGATGTTACACATCCATGACTAGAGGGATAGCTTTAACTGAGTAAAAGATGACATGAAAAATATGTCCTGAACACTCCAAAATAGCTTAACAGAAAAAATAAAAGCACATTTGTAAACAACTTAAAAACAAAAGCCTTTTGAAAATGCTTAAGTCACAAGAAGATAAATTGTTAATTCTCCTTGGCTCAAATAGCCATTGCTATCCTCTAGGTTTGCTGGGGGAGATGTACAAGGATTTTGCCCACACAGAAGACTTCACTGAGAAAGTGGGGGCAAATAGTTCAAATTTTTGGTGGAATTAGGGAAGGGAAGATTGAAAGGCAAAAGGACATGAACTCTATATTCCCCCTGGAAAATATCGTTAGAATGGCAACACAATCTAAGTAGTGAATGGAGCTGAATTCCGAATTTTACAATCTGAGACCCTTTTCAATGTAAACTTAAAAGGTTATAAGCAACTGTTCTAACTTAGACTTTTGTATTATGTACCATTAAATGAAGTTAGCATTGCTTTCACTTCCATTATTCAAACTTTGCCATAAAGTGACTTTGCATATGAAGTGTTAATATTAATTTATTTAAACATGTTTCATTATGACACAGAAGAACCTCAATAACTGTCCTGGGAAATGATTTTGCAATTATTAACCATGCATGTGAAGTCAAGCATTAGTATTCATTCTACTCTACTTCATGCTTAAACACATGCTAAGAAGCTGCTGAGCACTGACTGTGTCCATTTTGGTAGATGGACAGATGTATGCAAACAGCAATGCTTTGGATCACTTGTGCTATTCCTAATACTACAGTTATTTTCTCTGCCAATTACATTTTGCTATAAATATGTGTGCCCTTAAGTTGATCCCAATATCAGTTTCAGCTAACTAATCAAATTATCTGCTAAGGTTTCGGGAATGATAACCCTTCCTTTATTTAAATAAAGTGAGGGAAGGGTTTTAACTCCCGAAAGGCTTGCCAATAATAGGTTTATTTTAAAGTTAGAATGACACTGTTCAGTAAGCTATCCTTCATCTTTGATATTCTTATACATTCACAATAATATCAACGTTTATCAGATAGGAAGAAGAGGAGAAGAGAAAACTAGTGAGGTTTTTACCACTAAGTATTTTACCAAGCGCTACTAATGAACTCTTGCACTAATTTATTCATCTGAAATGAAGCCCAACAACTAAATCATCACAATAAACTTTTGATCATCTCGCTGGTATTTTGATGATACAAGAGACTAAGTTTTCATTTTATATTTTCTCTTTGCAAAAGATTAATGTTATTAAAACCCGAGTCTGAGAAACTTAAAAATAGTTTAGGATTCTATTAAAAAGTGACTCAATTGAAAGTTAGTTTATAATCCAAACAATCCATTTTTGGTGATTTCTGCCCACATAATCATGGCAAATACAGATATTGACCATTCCATGTTTTGTTTGAGTTTGTTAAATGCAACTCTTCAGTCACAAAGGCAGCAGGCATTCTGTGGCGGGCTTGCTTTGAATACTTCTCAAACAACTGAAATAACTAGGATTCACAAAGCAGACTAAGCCATTTCTCTCATTTTCTTACCAGCTTCGTCCATCTGCATTCCCTACTTCATATCATGTTTTTGTATTTAAAAATAAATAAAAATCACTCAAGTCCTCAGCTCTTTATCCAAAACAAACTTATTTACATGTATGGTGAATACGGATGTTTTCCTTTCAGCATTTCAATAAGGGTTCAAAAAGATCCCAATAACTAATATGAAGGGAACGATTATATAGAACTTTATATTCATTTGCTTTCTGAATTGGCTTCCAAAGATGCTACAGGCACAAAAGCTTTAAAGGTTAACAGATGCTTCCACACATTTTGATTTTTTCCCCCTTTTATACAAGAGACCCACTTTGCTCAATGAATCACCATCATAATTTTTTGTCCAGTATGATTAGGTGAAACTGCATGCCACTCCACTCCTCACCCGAAAAAAGTAAAGAAAATACAGCCTTTTGCTTCAAATATTTTATGAATGCAAGATTACAAGAATTATATTAGTCAAAATGCAGGGCTATCAAGCACTGAACCAGTGATGTTGGCATCAGTCTGACTACCATTTTGCATGTGGAAAAATGCACTAAATCTAAGGGAAAAGGCATCACTAATGCATCATGAATTACTCTGGTCAATCAACATCAGCTCTGCAGCATGGTGCATGAGAAAATGACTGTCGTAAATTTGTTTGAGATGAGACAAGAACAAAACCATTCTAAAACAGAAGTTTTTGTTTTGCTCTTATTGAGGTAACATCAGAAATTAAAACAAGATCTTACAATTTAGCAGCCATTTTAATGCTTTTGTTGAGGCTAGCCTTCACACACTGAGCATGTGTACAGCCACAGTTCACTGTATTTGTGTAAGCTGAGTGCTGGTGATTAATTCAAGTCACTGTTCTCCCACCTCATTCAATAAACCTGGTGAACTGAATGTCCACCATAAGAAAAGGAAAATAAATGACGTTCTAAGTGCAGCAGACAAATATAGGCATTCTGAACACATCAAGAAGCTAACACTCATGAGCTGTCATAATAAGGGGTAATACAAAAGTCTTTTCTGTGCATATTTTTGATTTGAAAGGTCCCAGTGAATCATGATGTGCCTTGTCGTTTCTGTTGCTGATTTCTGATGACCTCTAACTGTTTTTTGCATTGCTGGTAGTAAGTCGAAAGACTTTTGTTTTCGTCTAAAAGCTTTTTATGTTCTTGTACCAGACGGGATGTGTTTTGCTGGTCTTTCTCATCCTGGTCCAGTTCTGCTATTAGCTCCTGTCTAAAGATAAAAAAATGTTAACATTAAAATGTTATGGAGAATAAAAATCATAGAATATCAGGGTTGGAAGAGACCTCAGGAGGTCATCTAGTCCAACCCCCTGCTCAAAGCAGGACCAATCCCCAACTAAATCATCCCAGCCAGGGCTTTGTCAAGCCTGACCTTAAAAATCTCTAAGCATGGAGATTCCACCCCCGCCCTAGGTAACCCATTCCAGTGCTTCACCACCCTCCTAGTGAAATAGCGTTTCCTAATATCTAACCAAGACCTCCCCCACTGCAACTTGAGACCATTACTCCTTGTTCTGTCATCTGCTACCACTGAGAACAGTATAGATCCATCTTCTTTGGAACCCCCCTTCAGATAGTTGAACGCTGTTATCAAATCCCCCCTCATTCTTCTCTTCTGTAAACTAAATAAGCCCAGTTCCCTCAGACTCTACTCGTAAGTCATATGCCCAAGCCCCCTAATCATTTTTGTTGCCCTCCGCTGGACTCTCTCCAATTTGTCCACATCCCTTCTGTAGTGGGGGGACCAAAACGGGATGCAATACTCCAGGTGTGGCCTCACCAATGCCAAATAGAGGGGAATAATCACTTTCCTCGATCTGCTGGCAATGCTCCTACTAATGCAGCCCAATATGCCGTTGGCCTTCTTGGCAGCAAGGGCACACTGCTGACTTATATCCAGCTTCTCGTCCACTGTAATCCCCAGGTCCTTTTCTGCAGAACTGCTCCTTAGCCAGTTGGTCCCCAGCCTGTAGCGGTGCCTGGGATTCTTCCTTCCTAAGTGCAGGACTCTGCACTTGTCCTTGTTGAACCTCATCAGATTTCTTTTGGCCCAATCCTCCAGTTTGTCTAGGTCACTCTGGACCCTATCCCTACCCTCCAGTGTATTTACCTCTCCCCCCAGCTTAGTGTCATCTGCAAACTTGCTGAGAGTGCAATCATTCCCATCATCCAGATCATTAATAAAGATGCTGAACAAAACCAGCCCCAAGACCGACCCCTGGGGCACTCCGCGTGATACTGGCTGCCAACTAAACATCGAGCCGTTGATCACTACCCGTTGAGACTGACACCTGCTTGTTTTTGCGAGTAGTCACTACAGTATATTTTTATTTTTAACCAAATTAAAAACTTTTTATTTCATTTGTCACTGAGTTTATGAAGATCATGTCTCAGGTGTAATATTTAGTACAACAGAAAGGCCTAAGAGTTCACAACAACCGAATTGATTTTTACATTATTCTCTATACTTCTCAGTACATGAACTCAATACTGAATGCAAACCCAGAACTTTTCTATATATTATTCTAATCTGTAAAATTCTTTTAAAATCTCACTAAGTAAAGGCTCCAAACCTACAATAAAGTTCATGCAACGGGACCTGCATCGTACATATTGTCACTCTAAATCACTAGGACTCCACATGGGTGAAGGAGTCTGATTGCTCAGAGCTCATTGCATAACTGGGGCCTAATGTCTTGCCACAATTTATTCAGACGAATGGCTGGGGTTAAGTCAACCTAAGTTATGCTACTCCAGCTATGTGAATAATGTAGCTGGAGTCGACAAAGCTTAAGTCGACTTACCTCTGTCTCTTCACGGCGCTGAGTCAACGGGAGATGCTCTCCGGTTGACTTCCCTTCCTCTTTTCGGAGAGCTGGAGTACCGGGGTCGACAGGAGAGCGCTCTGCCATCGATTTAGCGGGTCTTCACTAGACCTGCTAAATCAATCCTTGCTGCATCAATTGCAGCAGCCTCGATCTCCCCGTAGTGGAGACCAGCCCTTAGTCCCTGATCCTGCACGTAAGTACATGTGCTTAAGGTTAAGCACATGGAGTAATCTTACAGACTTCGATGCAGGATTGGGACCTTAAAAAGTAAAATCTGTTAAAAGCAGCACTCCTACTTCAGACACTAATAAATATTCGTTGAAAAAATATTCTTAACTGCTATTCTCTGTCACTCAAACCCTTCTTTCTAATAAAGCCATAAAAATGAAAGTCACTGAGACAGAGATATAATACTCCAGTACACAAAGATACACTTCACTTGTCTCATCTCAATATTTCTAAATCTATTTTTTCCTCTTTACAAGCATTTTACTTACTTTCTCTGCAACAGCAATGCAATTTCAGTCTGAACTTTCATATATTCTTGTGCCATTTTACAGTGCTGTTCAAATACAGCCATAGATTCTTTGGAGTTTGGGCATGGTGCTAGAGGCTGAAAATAAATCAGACATGTTAAAATCTAATCAACTGATATCTCAATAATAGTGTGTTAGAATGTGTCTGCAATATATTTATACCAGCTTTCAGAAACTAGTAAGCTTTTAAAAATAAGTGTTAAACCATGCCCTGGAAAAATCTTAGTGCACTGTTGCCAAAGCTGAATCAGACCTAACATCTACATTTATTGCTCTACCACATTCTTTGTTACAAAGGATGATGATCAAAGCACTATTTGATCATCCATAGAACAAATAAAGTTTGGATGAGACCGTAGCAATTTTATTCTATGACCTCGAGCAAATTTCTTATTCATACTTTTAAACTAAGATTTCAATTTGTTTTAAGGATCATATTTCCCAGGGCTTGTTTTTAATAGCTTGATTAAATCTGAGTCAACCAATCTCAGGTTACAGAATAATTTTTTTTAGCCTTGTTCAAAAGTTAGGCAGTACACAAACATCAACAAATACGAAAAACAATTTTTTTTAGTCCATATTTATGTCACTCAGGAAAAAAAAAGATGAAAATGCTTTTAGACTAGTTTAGACTCAATTAAAAATTCAATTGCTCATAAAATATACAATTATTACCTGCAACTGGTGATCTAGTGTAAGATATGCCATTGGGATGGAGTTATCTGACCCATTGGTATCTGTAACAACAATACCACAGCTATAATATATTTTCAATTGAGTTAATTGTACATTTCCATGTAGGACATCCATAAGACACTATACTTCCTTAGCAAAAAAGGATTATTATTTAAACAAAGTTAAACATCAATATGCAGAATTATATATGGAAATATCAGTTTTTTTGGTTTGTGTTTTGTAAGGTTAGTTGAGAATGACAACATTATCAGAGTATGATCTATTGTACTGAAAAGAAAAAAAGATTAAATATTATACCTTTATAAATTTCTAGAGGCCATTTTAGTTGAATATAGGTTTTTTGCACAGTTTGCATTCTGGCTGTCTGTTTATAAAGTTATTTGCTACGCCATTCTTGTTTATGAGGGATCAGCCAGTCAGCCTACCCATTAGGGTGACCAGATGTCCCGATTTTATAGGAACAGTCCAGAGATTTGGGGCTTTTTCTTACATAGGTGTCTATTACCCCCCACCCTCTGTTCTGATTTTTCACACTTGCTATCTGGTCACCCTACTACCCATTAACTGAATTTAAATTAAGGCTGGGCAAAACCAGCTCTGAAAAACAAAATGAACACAAACTTTGTTCAGTCATGACATGACTGACTTTACTCAGACATGAAATTAAACCTAGGCAAATACCACCTCTCCCACCCAATATGCCCAAGGACACCTTTCTCTTCAATACGCTTAGGGATAGCAGATGACTAATGGGGGAACCCTATAACATCTCTGCTGGGCCTCGCTGCTGTTGCTCTCTTCCAAAACAGTAACACCATGGGCCTTCCCAGAACTTTCCCTCCGAACTACACTGCATGCTTCTGGAATCTCACATGCTTTGTATCTTTAGAAGTCCAAGATCTGAGGGACACAAGCCTATTGCTAAATCTTAAGATACAGCAGTAGGGTTAAGTGGAGGAACTACTGGGTTCCAGCACTGTGTGACTGCTATCAGGAGAGCAAACGGTAGAGGATAGGTGGGAAAGAAGTGGGCTGCTCAGCCATACCCCAAAAGCATCTGCCATAAAGTAGTGGGGTGGCGGCGGCGAAAATGAAAAGGTGTTGCCTCCCAAAGATTACCTACCATATCTCCAAAAACAACTTCAAAAAGGTAAAGGAAATGGGAGGGCCAGAAAGGAGAAACTGCCTTTCTCCTCCTTAACAAACAGCAAAATGAGAACTAAAGATAATGACTCGCATGTAGACACTGAGTACCAAAAGAAAGGGCTACCCAAGGTCATGCTGTAACCAACCTTGCCTTAAAATGAGAACTTTTTGAAACAGTTTTTCTGATATCTTGTATTTTTTTTTTCCTACTCAGATTTACGCAAACCATGAATTAAAGACTGTCCTTGGAAAGGAATCGAGACTCTGGGCTCCCAGTGCTACATATCATTTCTGAGACAAATATGTCAGAAAGCCTGCCCATCTAGGATGTCACAGAGAACCGACGGTGTTAGCGTGTTGAAGTTCTGATCCTTTTATAATGGTTTGTAAGCACCGGACTAAGAGTATAAGAATTCTTTAACTAGATTCCACTATTATAAAACATGGTTGAGTGAGTGTAATGTAACAAAAAAGAGTGATACTCTGGTAAACAAATATTTTACACACTTCTGAAATAAAAGTTCATGCTAACTTTTTGTAAAACACCTTGCAATAGCATGTGTGTACATGCCTTCTTCCTCCCCCCACACGTCTCCAGAGATATGGGCCTGAATCTGCCACCCTTACTTATCCTGAGTAGTACTTTATCCAAAAAGGTGGCTCACTGAAATCTAGACATGTGTATTTATAATGTACACATACAAATAAAATGTTGCCTTGTGTTTTAAAAAATGTAGCATCAAAATTCATGTTCAAAACTGTTAAGTAGAATATTCTATTTATAGTAGCATCATAGGAAAATTATATATTTTGCTTTTAATGAACTATAGTTAAGAGTTTATGTAATTTCACTGAGTCTACTTAAAGAATTTGTACAGCCAGTGAGCAAATGCAGTAATGGTTTAAATGAGTCAGAAAACTAAAACCAACCAATTGCTCTATTATTCAATTTCTTTGTAAAGTTTACACACACATTGATCTTAATCAAAATACATTATAAAATAAACCTTTCAGAATGTTAAGACAAGAACAAACAAAAAAACCAAAACCAAAACATCACCTGTAGATTCATCAGGTGTCCATGGAAGACTACGAGCTGGCTTTTCAGAGGTTGGTCCTGGGGTAGTGATCATTCTCACACTAGGACTAGATGACCTACTGCTGTTTCTGCTCTCCTGCACAAATAAGATTTTTAAATAAGACTCTTATTATAGTCTCATATGACAGTGACAAAACCAAAACAAGGGAAGACTGGTTCAAGAGTTTGTTTTACTAGCCGTTTTGGAGCTGGCTAACTGATATAAAGAAACAAGAGCATTCAATTCTATAGTTCTTTTTATTCTGAAAGTTCTCAAAATGATTGATAAACTTTATGAGCATATATAGAAATGATATAGGAATCATTTCACCCTCATCTAAAATGTATCTTTGAATTATAACAGCAGTTCTCAAACTTCATTGCATCGCGACCCCCTTCTGACAACAAAAATTACTACACAACCACAGGAGGGGAGACTGAAGCCTGAGCCTACCCGAGCCCTTCCGCCCCAGGCGGGGGAGGGATGAGGAAAGAAATGGGGACAACAAAACCCAAGACTTCATCTGTGGGCCGGGGGCCTGTAACCTGAGCCCCACCTCCCTGGGCGGCTGGGCTCGGCCTTATACAATGTACTCAGGAGGTTGCATTTTGAGCATCCCGTTATGATTCTACGTAACAATTATCACAGTAGAGTCAGAAGCTGCATTCACTAGAACAGGGGTCGGCAATCTTTCAGAAGTGGTGTGCCAAGTCTTCATTTATTCGCGGTAATTTAAGGTTTCACGTGCCAGTAATACATTTTACATTTACAGGGGCCAGCGGATGGAACCCCAGACTGGCAGCGGGCTGAGCGGACCGGCAGCTGGGACCCCAGGCCAGCAGCAGGCTGAGTTCCGTCTGGGGTTCCGTCTGCCAGCTTCTGCCAGCTGGATCCTGGCTGCCGGCCCGGGGTTCCATCCATCCAGGCCGGCAGCAGGCTGAGCAGGGCCGGTGGCAGGGACCCCAAGCCGGCAGCAGCATGCCACAGTAAATCAGCTCGCGTGCCATAGGTTGCCGACCCCTGCACTAGAACATGTCAGCTTCAGCTTATGAGAAAACTAAGGAACCCAGTTCATTTCCAGTGTTTCCACAATAAGAAATTAAACAAGTGCACACAGCTGGAAGTAGTTCAAAAGTTAAGCGTGTAGTGAGAGGTGAACATATGTACGGACGACTATGTGGCGGCCCTGCAGATATCAGAAACTGACACATGGGCCAAGAAGGCTGCCGATGAGGCCTGTGCTCTAGCTGACTGGGTGGTCATGATCGCTGGTGGAGGCACTTTTGCCTGATCAAAGCAGAATTGGATGCATGCTGTGATCCAAGATGAAATTTTCTGGGTGGAAACCCCCAGACCTTTCATCCTATCCGCCACCCCGATGAACAACTGCGTTGACTTACGAAATGGCTTTGTCCTCTCAATGTAGAAGACTAGCGCTCTCCTGACAGGGGCAGTGGCATAGGCGTCGTCACTGACAGATCCACGAGCATGCCAAACCAGTGCTGGTGAGGCCAAGCTGGGGCTATCAGGATAACCTTGTCCTTGTCTTGCTTGATTTTCATGAGGACTTTGTGAAGCAATGGCACCGGCGGTAAAGCGTACGTCAGAGCCCCTGAGCAAGGAAGTAGAAAGGTGTCTGACAGGGAGCCGGTTGACCCCCTGGAATAGCAGAACCGGTAGCACTTCCTGTTCTTGTGAGTGGTGAACAAGTCCACCTGAGGACTTTTGGAAGATCTGGTTGACCACATCGGGGTGGAGAGACCACTTGTGGTGAGACGAGAAGGTTCTGCTGAGGCAATCTGCCAATATGTTCCTGGTTCCGGGGAGGTGCGCTGCTACAAGATGAATGGCATGCTGGACACAGAAGTCCCATAGTCTGAGGGCTGATGACCTGGCTCCACCCTGCTTGTTGATATAAAACATTGTGGTAGTGTTGTCAGTCATGACTTGAACCACTTTGGGACCGAAAAGCCTGGCAGGCCAAGCGAACTGCCCTGAACTTCCTGACATTTATGTGGAGGGTGCAGTCGACCCCTGACCACTGCCCTGTGTGCTGAGCTTGCCCAAGTGGGCTCCCCAGCCTGGTGTCCGACACCAGAGTTAGCGATGGGGCCGGGGCCGCCAAGGGGACTCCCTGCAACACTGATGTGGGGTCCATCCACCACGCCAGTGATGCCCAGATGTACCTTGACAACCAGGTCCAGGTTGTGCCTGTTGGGAATGTAGACCGATGCCAACCACACCTGCAGCAGCTGGAGGTGGAGTTGGGCATGATGGACCACGTAAGTACAAGCATCCATGTGGCTTAGCAACCTTCGGCAAGTGTGGGCAGTGGTGAGTGGGTGGTCCCTCACATGGGAGATTACGTCTAACATGGCTCGGAACCGGGTCTCCGGAAAGAATGCCCTGGCCCGCCCCGATAAACTCTATCCGTTGCACTGGTACGAGGGTCAATTTCTTTTCGTTCACTAACAGGCCCAGGTTGCGGCATGTGGACCACAGCAGATCGAGACTGCTCTGCACTTGATACTGTGATCTGCCCTCGATGAGCCAATCGTGGAGATAAGGGTAGACCTGGACTCCCTGATGCCTCAGGTAAGTGGCTACTGGGGCCATACATTTTGTAAAGACCTGTGGGGCCGAGGAGAGGCCAAAAGGGAGCTCCACGAACTGGAAATGGCACTGGCTCACCATAAAATGGAGGAACACTCTGTGCCCTTGAAAAAGAGAGATATGGAAAGAAGCATCTTTCAAGTCGAGAGCAGCGTACCAGTCTCTTGGATCCAGGGAAGGAATGATGTAGGCCAGGGATATTATGCAAAACTTCAACTTCTTGAGATACTTGTTGAGTCATGTCAGGTCCAGAATGGGACGTAGGCCCCCTTTTGCCTTCGGGATCAGGAAATAGCGGGAGTAGAAACCTTCCCCCCTCATTTCTTGAGGACCTCCTCCACTGCCCTCAGTTGCAGGAGGTTGTTTATCTCCTGAACGAGGAGTTGTTCGTGAGAAGGGTTCCTGAAGAGGGATGGGGAAGAAGGGGCGGGGGGGGGGGGGGGAGAAGAGAGGCACAAAAACTGAAGGGTGTAGCCCAGTGACACAATTTCTAGTACCCAACTGTCCGAGGTGAGTCTCAACCAGGTCGAACAGCAGGGATGGAGATCGTGATGGTTGAGGAAAAGATGGGGCAGATTCGGGGAGGTAACTGGAGTGTTGCTCTTGAGTTCTCCCTCAAAACGCCGGCTTCAGGCCTCCGTGGTATTTCTCTGGGCCAGGCTGCACAGGTGAACGGAAGGAGGAAAGGCGGCGGTGACCGGAATGGCTTCATCGCAGACTCAGGCATATGCATCCCCAGGGAGCAGAGGGTGGCCTGAGTGTCCTTCAGACCATGCAGCCTCGTGTCCGTCTAATCGGAAAACAGCCCAACTCCATCGAACAGAAGAAGATCTTCTAGGTCTTAAGCCAGGAGTTGCGCCTCATGACCACTGCCGAGGCGACCACCCTGGCTGCCGAGTTGGCCGCATCCCAGACCATCTGGAGGGAGCACCGAGCTGCTGCGGTACTTTCCTCCACAAGAGCCCCTGACTCTTGGGCTGCCTCCTGGGGCATGGAGTCCTTAAACTTGTGGAGGGAGTCCCACAGGTTAAAATTATAATGCCTCAAAAGAGCCTGGTGGTTCGCTACCTGGAACTGGAGACTGGCCGTGAAATAAATGTTTCTTCCAAAAAGATCCAGTCTCTTGGCCTCCTTATTTCTTGGGGGTGAAACTAGCAGGCCCCTGCTTGTCCTTTTCGTTGACCACTGACATGACCAACGACCCCGGGGGTGGGTGGGTATATAATTATTCAAACCCCTTGGCAGGAACAAAACACTTTTCCTCGGCCCTCTTGGAAATGAGTGGGATGGAGGACAGCATTTGACAATTTGCTTTGGCAATGTTCAGGACCCCTTCGTGCACCGGGAGTGAGACACATGCGGGGGCGGACACCGAGAGTACATTGAACAATGGGTCTGATTGCTCTGCCATCTCTTCTGCCTCAAGGCCTAAGTTAGTGGCCACCCATTGGAGCAAGGCTTGGTACTCCTTAAAGTTGTCCGGTGGGCTAGCATGGGAGGGCAATGCCACCGCCTCGTCTGGAGAGGACGACGATGAATGAACCACTGGAGGAGGGTCCGGGGGATCATCCCCCGCAGGGGAAGGTGGTCTCTGGGTGGGCACCTGTTCCTCCACCACAGCGACCAAGGACTGGAGACGGGTCATCAGCATAACCGGCATGCCCCAGGTGTTCCAATAAGGCCGTTGCGCTGGCTACTGGCCCTGCTGCCAAGTTAGCATCACTGCGGCAGATGCAACCCCCGGAACCCAGTTGCGACGGTGCTGTCTCAGTAAGGGGCTGAACTCCCTCTCCGTGCCAGAGAAATCTTCCTCCAGTGACCAGGGCGAGGCCATCGACACTTGAGTCTGGTGGCTAACTGTTGCTATGGATGACTGCTGCCTCGAATTGTTAGACTGGTGCCGGGAGTATGGGGAGTGACGCCGTGTTGGGGAGCATCCCTGAGGTCTTGGTGCCGGTGACCGTCGGTGCGAAGACGACCGGTGCCGACTAAGGCGACCGGTGCCTCCCTCTGGGTGAGGTCCGGAATGAGGGCGGAGACTGGGAGCACGGTGCCGGTGACCTGTAATGGTGATCTGGTGACCTGGGCTGACGCGGAGATCAAGGACGTGGCGAAAAAGGGCTCTGCCTTGGCTCTGGACACCGGCAGCGCTCACGTATCTTCTGGGAGACCTTCACGGCTGGCTTGCCCTCACAGGGATCCTTCACTGGGTCCATCACCACATACAGTGCTGGCTGCGACGGGAGAGTCCGTTGCTCTCTGGGCACTGGGAGGGCGTGGACTATGCCATCAGCCTGGGTCTCCTACCACTCCCCGGAGTTGGTGGTGGATCCCTTAGGGGGCAGAAGGTCCCCTAGGGGGGCGGGTGCCCCCTTGCAGCTCCAGCCTGGGAGAACAGCCCAAGCAGGATCCTTTGCCCAATGCCCCTTGATCCGACTTGCTCGGTGCCGGGTCCCTCTTTTTAGTCTTCTTCCTGGGCACCGGTGAAGTGGATCAGTGCTGGGAAGAGCCCGGTGCCGGGGGCCTGCTACATACCGAGGCTGAAGTGCTGGGTGTTGCGTCCAGGCCGGCTCCGAGGCTGGGCGAAAAGCGGCCTCCATGAGGAGGGTCCTCAAGCGAATGTCTTATTATTTCTGTATCCTGGGACGAAAGTTCTTACAGATGTGACCTTCTCTTTAACGTTGGACTCCCCTATGCGGGTCACTTACAGGCATAGAAGGCCTGTTGCAGTCAGAGCATGGCTTAAAACCCAGAGACTGGGCATGCCCCGGCCTGGGGCAAAGTCCCAGCCGGGACCCTGACAGTACTTAACAGCTACTTACTAACGAATCTACTATAAACAAACTATTTACAGCTGGAACCAGAGGTTTGAGTAGGAAAAAAACGCTGACCACATGTGAAGCAAGGGAAAGAGGCGCTCTGACCAACCACCACAAGCAGTAAGAAGGAACTGAGAGGGCGTAGGGCTGGCAGTGCCTGATATACTGACGCATGAGCATGGCACTCAAGGGGGTGCCACAACCAGCCCAACGGATACAGCTAAGGCAAAAATCTCCAACAACTGTGCACGTGGGTGTGCACACACCTAGAATGGAATCGACACAAGCAAGCACTCGAAGAATTCTGTGCTGGAGAAAATTAGAACAAAATGTGACTCAGTGCATGGGTTGTCAAGAAGTCCAGAGGATCTACCCACCCTTTCTTTATGGGAATGGATGTCCCAATTTTTTTTTTATTGTAACATGGGGTGTCACAAACTGGAAAAGGTTGAAAGCCCCTGGCTTAGTGTATTCAGTTGTTCATGCCCTGGATGCAATAGTCCGCCAAACAGCAAATCATTATTTGCAGAGCATTAGACTGACCACATTGATAATGCCATTCAATATCAGGAATTAGTGCTGGACAACATTTCTAATCACAGCAGCAATACAATAAAATATAATAGTGATAGTCCTCCAGCTGCAAATGGTGGAAATCAAGTCTAGAACATCAGAATTTGTATTTTGTTGTTGAGAGGGGGAGAAGGAGAGGTGACCTCCTTTGACAAAATCAGCAAAATACAGACACTAAATCTCTGATGGCTCTGATCAGTCTGAGAGAAAAAAACAACAACAGACCTCCCTCTTGTATATTAGTTTTTTCCAAACACAACTACAAATGGGCCAGATGGTGCATGGTCTTCGGTTATCAGAATGGTAAAATGAGGAATTGCGAAGGAACTATAGGACAATGAAGATGAAGACTATGCATGATTTAATATTTATACTGCAGTTGTGCTCAGAGGCACCCATCAGGATTGAGGCTCCATTGTGCTAGGCACTGTACAAATGTATATGAAGACACAGTAAACTAAAATTAAAAATAGTTTTTCAAAAAAATGGTATACAAACTAAACTTAGCCTGGATTATATGTACTTTCATTTTCATCCTGCTTGTCCCAATTGGATTATTTATTATAGCACCACAGTTGTGCACCATTCTTAATAAAATATGTGGGTTAGAGAGCTCTTTGCCTTGAGAAGCTTACAAATCTAAATTGGACAATACAAATACATTTATAAAGGGAGTAATCACTATGGTATTTAAACTACATTCAAAACAGAACAATGTAATATCTTCCCATCATTAAGAAAAGACTGATATTTGTCCTCCAGGACAAGACTGTCGTATGCCCTATTTTGGGAACAACAGAAGAGATGCTGGTTCCAGCATTTACATTCACTCAGCCTGAAGAAAAAGTTGCATCTCCTATTAAAGTTGTCCATGTTTGGCTCCAGTGAGTTTCTAATAAGAACGAATGCTAGAGCAGGCAATTAGGTATGGAGAATAACTTACTGCAAACTCCTGCCAATTTTTTCCTCGGAATTGATAGTGAAATAGAGAGCATGACAGAGCAGAGAGGGAGAAGCACTCTCCAATTTAGCAGGCCTAGACCATTTAAGGCTTTATAGATTGTAACCAACATTCTGAAAATCACCTGTCACTTCACTGGCAACCAATGCAGTGTGTGGAGTACAAGGGTTTAAAGGGCATGGGAATGGAAGCAAACAGTGCCATAACTGATCATTGATGAAGGCTAGGTGAAAGAAGTGGGTTTAAGGAGAGACTACAGAGATGTAGAGAAGAAGGATGTTTGCAGTGAAAGCGCTGGGGGAAGGATAATATATTTATATATAATTTGAAATGGTATATGTGGAGAACATAAGTGAACTGATCAGAGCTGTGTGGATTTCTGACCTCTTTATAAACTGATTTTTTCTCCTTTATCTAGTAGGTTGTTTATATTGCTGCTAATCATTATTTTGAAGTTTTAAATTAAAAAATTCAAGGATAGCAGGAGCTCAGCTCAGAGTTATGGAAATCCATAAATATAGGCCTTGAACTTTAGGAGCAGTCTCAGGTCCTTCTGTCCATTCACACCTGAAGAAAGACAGGAGGCCATGAATGTGGTTTATTAGACCACAACTTCATTCACTTAAAATATTGGAGTACCTGGCAACGAACTGTGCAGTGCAGGAAGGAGGAGGGGAAGGTGGGGCTTGGCTCCCCAATTTTCCAGATGTCGGAGCCCAAACCCCCCTCCTCAGCAAGCTTAAAGGGGGTCTAGGAAAAGGAAGGGGTTGGCTCCCCACTCTATGAAATATGGGTACCCCAAGCCCTCTAGGGCTTCATGGGCAATAAATACCACTGCCCTCCCACAAACTCTTCCGGTCAGCAGGAAGGACAATGCAGTGACCTTCTCCTGATATGGCACCAAATGCTTCTTGCCCTTCTTGTCCATCTCTGTACACTTTTCCGCTTCTCCCAACCTGCTGTAATGGAGCGGATGAAGGCACATCACCACTTTCTTCCCGCTAGTGGACAAAGACCCACTTGTGTGAAGACTGCAGTGGGCATATCTAGGAGACAAACTTGCTTGCTTTCTACACTAATGTGTTGTGTGATTGAAAAGTTCTGGCTTGGTATTACAAGTTCGAGAGTCTTAGTTTTAGACTTTTCCATTGCTTCCCATTCACAGACCTCAAAAACAAGAACACAAAAACCTGTGATTTATTTATACCGATAGTGCAAAACATTATCCACAGTGTACTTATAACTTTTGAGGTATTACTTTATTCTGCTTATCTTGTATGCTACACTATGATTCATAGTTATAATAGGGCGCTTCAAAATGCAAAATATAAATTGAATTTCAAAATATAAATTGAATATGAATAGAATTTCAGACTGACAGACCTAGCAGAAATGTAAAACAAAAGATATACAGATTTCTAACCCTTAGGCTGGCACAGGTAGGAGGGAAGAAAAGGAAAATTGCTGTTATTCCTGGTTGAAGGAGCAATTACTTGGCAGGAGCACAGCTAAAATCTCTAAGAAAGTAGTACACAGCAGCTTTCAAAGGCAGGATACATAAAAAGATCCAATACAAATGCTATATGTCTAGCCTACTAGTATTGTAATCTGGTATCTGCAAACATTAATAATTTTTAAAGCTAATAGAAGGAACTGAAAGTTACAAATAAAAGAACTTACATAAAAATATTTTAATATTGCATAAAATAGTGGCATATAGGTGTGATAGAAGTGCATTGAAACCTTAATCATAAAATAGTTAAACATGTTACAGAATAACCAAAATTGTTTCAATTTTCTTTCAAGTCTTTTCTCTAATTACAATGCTTGACTAAGTAAATGTAGAATGATTTATTACTGTGCTCACATTTGTAGAATGCTTTCATTTAAAAAGCCCTATGTTTGGTATGTAATAAAAGTGTTTTGAAATTTTAAAATTGATTCTGATGCTTTCTTCTGATATATGCACATATTCCCAAATAAACCAGACAAATGAGATTTTGGGGGAAGAACAAGGTTTCTGTTGCTACAACACTGCATGAAACTGAAAAGAGATCAAATGTTAATCTCTTTGATGAGTATACACCCCTAAAATTACCACCTATTTTGGATTATTACAGTAGGCTGTTTAATATGGAAACCTGATTAACCTGATTAACACACTGAGCTCCTATTTTTCCATGTTCAAACTACAGCAGAGATCTTAAAATTACAGTAGAACCTTGCTAATTCACACTAATGATTAAAAACCCACTGTGAATTACTGACATCGACAAATTAGCAATTAAATGAACACCACAAAACAAACAAAGCTAAAGCACTACTAACTGTACTTTGGTCATTTGAGACATCTGTTTACTTTTAATATTTCATACTTCAGAGTGTATCACTGTGCTTGTTACCATGGTATCTAGACATCATGATACAAAAAGCAATAGTTACTAGTAAATATCTTGTAAAAGTAATCAAGTCTTAGTAACAAGACCTTGCTATAGTATTTCACTATTACATTTTATTCCAAAAAGTAGAGAGAGACATTATAACTAACCATTTACATTTGAGCGATACTACTATGTTGAGGTTCATTACCAGTACATACAAAATTATGCAGCATGCACAAACAAAATATATTTTTGAATAAATATTATATGTGCTGCTTAGGCAAGTTGTAATCAAGAAACTTGTCGCCTAGACATCTTTCATAAGCTGCCCTTTCACAGGTTTTATTTTAGATGGTAAAACAACAGATACTATGTTTTGTAAATTAAATGATCCCTAATCACATAGATGAAGTTTTAAAGACTAGCTCTACACAGTACAAGTTTACAGTTGATTTCACCTAAATGTTCCTGAAAGACAAATAAAGAAGCCATAGGCTGAAAGATTTTACCTGATTGGATTCTGTTCCAGCAATACTAAGGTCTTGAATGGATCTCCGCCTCTGTTGTCCGTTTCCTGCTTGGAAAAAAAGACAAAACAAAACACTAAAATCTGCTCAGAAACAAAATAAGAAGGGTGCGACTGTTGCAGCAGGAGCTTGGAATTTGTACAAATCCACAGAGAGAAAGTGAGAGAGGGAGAGAGAGAGACAGCTGCAGAATTTTAACTCAAAAAATGCTGGCCTGTCAAGAGAAAGTATATCCTAATACAATAACCACTCCTACCATATGAATAGCTTCTGCACTCTACTCCACCATCTTCTGTCACATGTGTTTGAACAGGCTTAGCACTTGGGGACTGGGGCTGATGACGACATCTATTTCAAGTGAGTTACGTTATGGGCATTTCTAGAGCAAGATGCTGCCAGCTCTAACCTGTTGTTCTTTGAAGTAGCACACAGCAAAGCAGTCTGTCTGTGTTATGTTCCTCTCACATATATTAAGAAGCTATAAGAAAACGTATTCCACTTCAAGTCAAAATAAAGCTCTTAGTCATCTTTTATGAGCAAAAATATTTCCTATTCTGAAAATCAGGGCAGGAAGTTGTTCTCTAGCTATGTCACATCTTGCTATCAATCTACTGAACACAATGCTGTAATCTTTCCTCTTCTCTTTCCACCCATTAGCAATTATCCATCACTGAGAGCTACAGAAAATAGTTTAAATTTTAACACTGCTAGTCCATCAAGGAAATGTTAATGAAACTAAGTCTTATGTTACATAATCCATTGTATTTTACAATTTCCCTTGGTACTTTGATTTTTATTAATATTGTTTATAGTGTCTCCTGAGATGACAGGTCAGCTGCCCAAAAGGAAACACCAAAACATCATGAGTAACAGCTGACAATGCTCAAAATTTTTGGTCTTCAACCTGCATTATGTAACTTTTCTACTAGTAGGTAGCATTTAGAACATGTACTATAACAGTTACAGCCTCATACTCCCATAGAATTCAACAGTCAGAACTCGATCAATGTTTTGTAACATGCGGCTCATTTTTTAAACTTTTAGATATTTATGCTGGGTCATTTCAAGATGACTTAGCAGCCTTTCTAGATAGAAGTTTTAATTTTCACATTGATTAAAACAAAAACGTGAGAATGGCTATGTAATCTCATCGACACAGCTTAAGATATCACAAATTATGAAGCCCTTTAAGCAGTATTTCTGTGCAGCAGTCCTGTCTGTTCTAGAAACACACTACCAGAAAGTGAAAAATTCTCAGTGCCATCGTCTCCAGTTTGTCACCTGACATTTAAATTCAAGAAATTCTATAAGTACCTAAGGGAGAGAACAGTTTATAGGTTAGAGAATGGGACAAGGCTGTCTAAAATTGGGGTTATATTCTCAGCTCTGACACTGATTTGCTGTCTGACCATAAAAGAGTTATAACCTCTCAGTAACTTAGTTTTCTACATCAGTAATTTGGGGAAATAAATAAATACTTACCAATGTAAAAGTGATGTGGTGAGGCTTAATGAATGTTTGTAAAGCGACCAGAGATCCCGTAAGGCACCAGGTGAGAATTATTAATCTCTTCCATTTAATATAACTACTTGGCCATTAAAAACAGGATTATTCATAAATGGAAGAATTATGCTGTTGATAGTAGCTGCAACTCATCTTGGAACTCAAGATATAGATGATCCACTCATGACTGATACAACAATTATGTGCACATTTCATTCAACAGCACTATTCTAAAATTAGCCCGTCTGAAATAAGCTTGCAAAAAATATCTGGAATTCTCATTTCAGATTAGCAACATCTGTGAATTTAAAGAACCCGGCACATGTGTTTCTGAAACATTAGATCATGGTTGCCAAAAAGTTAAAATAATCAGGGTGGGGTGGAAGTAAAAATGAACACTTTTTGAGGGCAGGAAGAGACCAACTGATTGTGTTATAGTGAATGAGAATGCCTTTAAATGAGAGATCTCCAAGTTAGTAGCATGAGGCAAAAGCAAGCTCTATTATGCAATGTCATTTTAATTAGCATAACTACTACAGACATCTGGCAAAACGTTCAGACAAAGCAGAAACAAAGACGGCAAATCAACAAATACTTGTTGCTCCAGAATCAAGATTAATGTCAATTTAGGAATATGAAGATGGACAACATTTCCTTGACTTTAAATAATTAGTTCTAGTCTTTGTACATTTTTTGAAGTTGTTTTGAACTTGCTCTTACTCTAGTTTTTAAAATAACTGGTTTAAAATTTTCTCTTTACAGAGATGAAAATTGACAAAAAGTCAATACACATCAGTTATGTACAATACCTAAAGGCAGAAAGTGATGCAGGATTTCAACAATTTACTGGATTTTAAGATTACAATTCAACTGTCAACCAATTACTCATTTGGTTTGAAAAAGGCAGCTGTAATGAAAAAGAAACTTCAGGTGCCTGGATCACCAAGTGAGGAAATAAAATGTTCTTTGGAGTGTGTTTGCTCATGATCTAGAAACGAAGGTTTTTTTTTTTTTTTTTTTTTTTTATGAAGGATGGGATGCCAATACGAACATGTAACTAAACCAATGGAGCAATATATACCATTTATGGTATGGTAGTTGAGGTAACAAAAAGTTTAATAAGATATTTGGGGCAAGGGCCATTTCTAAATTTTTGTGCAGTTACGCATGTGTCAAGAGAGTCTACATAGATGTTGTGGGTCAGAGTTAAGGTTACTGGAATGAGTATGGTGTATTTTCATATATATGTCAATACTGCCATTAAACTGAAAGTATAAACTGTAAGGGTAAAAAGTGAAAACACAAAAAAGTTGATGGAACGAAGAAATTTCTACCTTTCTCCTGCCTCTCTGCCCAAAAAATTCTCTCTCACACTTTCCCTGCGCATCAAAATCCTCAAAACACTTCCTACGCGCTTAAAAAAAAAAAAAAAAAAAAAAAATTATACAGGCTCCCTCTTAGCCTCTAAAGATATGTCCACACTATAGCTGAGAGGTGTGATTCCCAATGTAGACTTGAACTAGCTCGAAAATAGTGGTGTGGATGTTGTGGTATCGGCAGTGACTTGGGCTAGCCGTGCAAGTCCAAACCTGCCTGAACCCTTGGATCTGAGCTTGGGTGGCTAGCTCAAGCCACCGCCAATGCTGCGACATCCATGCTGCAGTTTTTAGAATGCTAGCTCAAATCTGTCTATCTTCACTGGGAATCGCATCTCCAAGTTGCAGTGCAGACATACCACAAAAGTCCACACACACGCAACTCAATTGCCCCTAATTAATATCTGCAGCTTCCCCTGGTTCTCTCTCTGCTCCAGCAACAACTCACACATACGTGCTGCCTCCTCTCCCCCACTGTCTTGCACAGGTAAATCCTCCCTACGCCCACACACTCTCCCCCTCTCTAACCTTCCCAAGGCTCTCTCACCCACCTTCTGTCCTCCACAGAATCTCCCTCGTGTTTTGTCCCCTGCCAAGAGTCTCTTCTTTCTCCAACCTCTCTCCCTTTTCATTCTCCTTTAGCTTTGTTTTTAATTACACAAACACACTATTTTTCCTCATTCAGTGCAGCATGGTCAGTGAATGAAGCAGAGGGTTACAAGAGAAAAAATGGTGTGTTCTTTTGAATTTTAAAGGCATGAATCTGGAATCCAGGAAAGGCTGGATTCTATTCATGGATCTGCTACAGACTTCCCGTTATCATAGTTCATATAGACAAGAGGGCAGAAATAAGGTTGCACAGGCAACCTTAAATCTAGCATTTCCTAACTTCTGAATGCTTCTTTTTGCAACCTTAATGTTTTTAAGGTAGTTTTTTCCTGTATGCAATAGGTTATGTTAGCAGATCATTGACAGCCTTTTTAACGCATAGGGTTTGGGGTTTGTTTAAATGGTAATGCGATTATATATTTTGCATAAGGCCAATATTAATTAAGCTACACTACAAAGGAAACCACGCCACAAAACTTGGTTAACTTTTACATAAAGAGGAAGTCCTCACTTCACTTGGAGTAAAATCCTGATTTTTGTGGAGCTTGAAGATCCAATGGCCAGGCACTTTCTCCTGAAAATATTCCGACATACACCCCTGACGCCGGTAATATAAAATTATTTTAATTCAGGTGTTCCTCGGGGCACCTTTGCTGGCATGCCTTCTAAGTACAAAGAAGAGGAGGAGTACCTCTCCTACAAACCAGAGATCTGTGGTGGTAGGATTCCTTTACTGCATGCTTTTAGAAGGCATGTTCTGTCTCAAGGACCTTATCATATCCATAGAAATGGGTTCCCCCCCCCCGTCCTGTGCACCTCCTAAGGTGCATCCCACTGCAGAAAATTATGCTTACAACACGAAGTTTTCCATGTCAATCTAATTCATGGAGGCTTGAATGTTTACATTTCCTTCTTTAAAAAGGGAATAGTCATGAACATTTTTTAAGGCCGCTGAAAAGAAAATACTACCCTTGCTATTATAAAAGCCCTGATGTAATATTAATGAGGTATCTAATATTTTGGTTTTAACTATTTCTTTTAAAACTAATCTATGCAAAAGATTTTGTTGAAGGTTATACCTCACCTGAAAAACTGTTAAAGCTAAGTCATTTGTAAATGAGAGGTATTGAAGGGGGAAAAAAGCTGGACATTCTAATAAAAGGAATGCAAGTTTATAAAAGCATGTTCTACGTTTGTATTAATTGTTGACTGTGTAATTTATCTCCAAATCACATTTAGCAGTGAGTGGTCTAATTTTAGTTGTGAACATTTGTTTTTTGGGTGTACCAAAAGTTTAAAGCTATTTAAACTGAAAAAACATGGAGGTACTATTGATGACTACATAACAATGCTATCAGCTGATTGGCATAGCAGCCTCTAAAGCATCTATGCCTTTCTACAGTTTTTCTATAGATATTCTGCAAAATATCAACTAACTCCCTTAATCTCCATCCCCAAGTCTCACCTGTGATACACACAACATCAATGCTATACAGATCAGCAAAGCTCTGTATTTATTCTGTGCTGCAGTTATGTATTGAATTGACTTGGGACTTGACTAACTTCTTTGGGGCAGGGACTTTGTTGTTTGAGACATTATGCTTTACATGGCACTATGTAGAGAATCCACTATTAAAAATTTAAAACTATAGAGTCTAGGTAAAATCAGCCTTATTGCAGTTATTTATGACACTCCTATATTTGGAATATGGAATATAGTATGAAAACAGTGCTACTAATAGAGTGGTGATAATCAAGTTTTTAAACTAAGGACCACAGTACTATAAATACAATAAGCCTCACTTTGGTAGTCCAGCATTTTTAGCTGATGTAACATACAGCCCAAAGCACATAAGGTATATGCATAAACTGTCAAATAAATGGAGTTGCCACTGAAAGAATACTGTAATGTAAACAAGATTTATCAGATACTTCCTGACTGACTAGCTTTTTAAAACTGGTTGCCTACTTATCTTGGTTATATTTTGCATTGTTGTTCAATACATACTTTAAAACACCTGGCTATTAATACTTTGGTGGGCCAGGCTTTTTTTCTTTTTTAACATGCTGGTTTGCAGTGTCTATGCTATATCTGCTGGAACTAAAAATAAGAAAGGTGTACTTTTGTATGTTCATATGGATACATACCTATAACAACCCTGGAAGATTAGCTACCAAACTGGAAATGGGTTTCGTAAATCCATTTGACTTTTTTTTTTTCTTTTTTTTTTTAAAGCTTTGCACACTAATGGCAAACTCAAGTTTTATCTGTTTTAAATGTCAGGGTCTCAAATGAATAAGCATTATACTCATGTGGGGTATTTCAAAAAGTGTTTAGAAAGGATGGGAGTTTAGAAAATATATATCAAAGCTATTTATCTTGCAAACATACCACTTTGAGTTGTTGCATATTTACATTAAATAAACTAAGCAGCCTGATCAGTCCATGAATGAGAGGCCTCCAAGGAAGCAGAGATATAAGAAATGGTAATTCAGGAGGTAGCTCTTATACTAAGTCAGTACTCTCCTAGTTCCTTAGGAAGCACATTTGTGATCTTTTGGATAAGATACAAAATGAAGTTCTTAACCACTTGTGGTCATTTGAAATCCTATAACACTTGTAGAAGAGCAGGGGTGTTAGTCCTATTCTAGTTTGAGCAAAATACATTTTGTCTACATCAAATTCCTCTCAAAGCTTTATTTAAATAGGGTAGTCTTCACTTTGTCCCAAAGCATAGTAAAGTTTTGCTGTTATCTACCCTGAACAAGGCTGTATTTCAGTGGAAGAGATCTGTATATCTAGTTTGCAAAGCTCTTTGGATAAAAAGTTATGATTATATGTAGTATATACAAAATGTCAGTCTATTATTAACAATCTCAGTAAATATCTCAACATTGGGGAAGTCTGAAACAAAATTGATATATTTTTTTAAAAGGTGAAGTTAAATGAGAGGGAAGGCTTTCTGGAAAGGGAAAGTGAGGGGTAAAAACAATAAAAGCATGTTGGGGCTGCCATCTTGAGGGCTTTAGAGGAAAACCTGGCTGCTCTGTAACAGTTTGCAACCCAATATACTGCTTATAGATGACAACACCGAGTCTGAACTAGAGCTGGGAAAAATTTTCAGTGAATAGTTTATTTACTGATAAATGCAGTTTCGGGTGACCTGAAACTAATTTGTGTTGAGTTTGTCAAAAATAGTTTTAACTGAAACAAAAATTTGAAATGTTCTGTTCGGTAATATTGAAACTAAATGGTTTGTTTCAACATTACCATAACATTTTTGGGCTGGTGTCATGAAAGTGCCAGAGGTGGTGGTCTCAGCAGGTTCAATTACCCCTCTGCCTGCTGTGGAGAAGGGATCTGAACATGGATCTCCCACATTGCAAGAGAGGTGCCCTGAACATCAGGAAATGGGATATCCTGATGTGGGTTTCAATCTATTTTGCTGAAGCTGTTCCATGATATATAAAGAAAAAAAAGAAAAACAGTCGTTGGAGCAGGGTCTTGAACTTGCATCTCCCACATCCTAGGTAAATGCCCTAACCACTGGGCTAGAGAGTTATTCTCGCTCTCTGGCCCAATGACTATTCATTGTCATTCATAGTGGCTATTCAGTCATTGTCTGGCTATACCGAAAAAAGGACGGGAGATATTTGACATAGGTTTAATCAGGCCGCAACTTTATCAACAGATGTCTGGGACTACCCGGCAGATAAAAGTGTACAGTGCCGGTAACCCCATGTTTATTCTGTAATTACCCAGGGGGCTTTTACCAGCTGCCCCTCTTTTTCCATCCGGGTCCCTCCAGCAAATCCATTGTCGGGACCATACCATCTACCTCCCGTCGTAGGAGGATTAAGGCGGGCTATAAGAATGGGAGTCCCCAACTGCCTCCCGTTCGTTCCTTTAACAAAACACCTCTTTTAAGTTCTTTTCCAAGCCATTTATCTGGTCACTGTATACCTTTCCTATGGAGTACCTGCACTGGACATCCACCCTACACTTAATGAGCTGGGAGATACAGCCTACCGCCCTTTATGCCATGCATGAACAGAGCCCTTCCTGAACCTGCTGTGAGGAAGGTGGAGAGGTTGGAGGGGAAGGGGAAAAATCCCTTTCCAACTCCCCTAAAAAAGGGGCGCTAGCGTAATAACCACAGTAGGTCTTGACCAAACCTGGAATTTAACCACCTAAAATAGAGTGAGGGTGGGTCCTGCCTCAGCCTGCTCCATGTAAAAGGGAGGCTTCAGGCACAGAGCTGCCACTTGTAAACCTTGCATTCCCAGGGGATGAGTCAGTGACTACGCTGACCCTTTTGTAGCAGTTTTCATCCCCTCCATCCTTAAAACACTGTTCCCTTCATTTGGTCAGCCAGCCAAATACACCCCCCACTCCCCGCTTAAAAGTGCAGTGTGGTCATTCATGATGACAGTGAATAGCTATTGGGCCAGAGTGTGACAATGACTCTACAGTGTGGTGGGTAAGGCACTCACCTAGGATGTGGGAGACAAGTTCAAATCCCTGCTCCAATGACTATACATATGTGTGTACATGTATATATAAAATACTGCACATACAGGACGTTCTCTGCAATTTTGCTTCATATGTGAGATAGTCTTTAGTACCAAGAGATCGGTCCAGCCAAGGGCTCAATCCTATCTATGAGACACAAGGCAAAGAGGACCGCATGCTGGCAAGCTTGTTTTAAAAAAGACATCATGAAAAATCTTACTGGATGGTCTCCATCTGCACCCTATGTGAACTGGAGCAAAAAGTATTTTTTTTTTTTTTTTAAATAATGTGATCATTATTCCAGCATCTTAGTCAATAGACCCGCTCACATGGTCTGTGATACCTGGTATGATGATTGCAGGGACATCCAGAATGTTGCCAAATGAAGCAGTTTTACGATGGCCCCGTTTAGGCTTGGAATAGGCTGAAAAAATACACATACACAATACACATGCAAACAGCTACAATGGTAACACAGCAAATTATTAAACACATAACACTGCAATTCTCATATATTGTTAAACTAAAGTACATGCAAAACATGTCACACAGAATAAACTGCACAGCTTTCTATTCATGCTTAAAATAGTAAAGAAATTGTTAAAAGCAAAACAGAACTAGCTGTCAATACAACATAATTAGCTGTCGTTAGCAACACAAAACTCAACAGACAAAGCAGCATGGCAATGAGGAAGGGTAAAGTGCAACCATCAGAATGGAAGACAAATATTGACTTATTCCAGTTCACCTGCATATTACTAATAAATGTATTTCCTTAATTGTTTTAAGTTATATAATACTTCCTCCATAGTTTTATTCTAGTCTCAGGCTAACATTGTTTATAAATAAGTTTAAATTTTCATGTTTGGTGCTTTCATTTTCTTTAATTGACATCTCCTGTAAAGTGAAATCCAATCAATGTCCAAGATAAGCTCACTTTAATATTACAAAATTTGAAGAATTGCTTCAAGCGCTGGTGAGGTGCCCTCTGATTAAGTGCTTGCTGTTTTGTAAAAATGGCCATTGCATACCAACCTAAATACTTTAGAATTAAGCATCCCGTTCATGGAACTATTGAAAACAAAATCAACCCCCCCCCCCATATTTGTTAAAGTGGAATTTGTATCTATTCTAAATCACATCAAACACCATAAAACGAACTTACAAAAGTTCATATTGCCACATGTGGTAAGAGGAAGCGGTGGTAAAATAAAGGTCTGTAGTTTAAAGATTAAATAACTACGTTCCATTTGAAATAGATTTGTGAATGCAGCTCCCAAAGGAAAACTGCTCTGGCATGTTTACCTGAAAGAACTCTCAGTGACTGACATAAATGTGCACTGCCTGAATTGTTTCTATGGCCAGTCTAATAATAGCTGGAACAAGAGGATTAGGTAATTCTTAAAATACTTTGATTCTTGACAATAGCCTTATCCTCACATAGCAACAAAATTTCTTTAGATCACAGTATGTTGTTCTCTGTAAGTTAATAAGACTAAGAAACCACCATTGTTTTTGCTGTTTCCAATTTAAGTCACAAAAACCTGCTTAGATTAACGTAGCCTGATTTCTACTAGTTTGCCACTGCCTGAAACGAACTCTGTTCCTTTATACTTGTCCCATTCAAATCAACTATCTTTAGTTAGAAGAAGGAATAAAAAAAAACAGCTATAGCAAAATCTCAGAACAACGTACTTGGATATAATTACTGGCAATACTTAAAAGAATCTAGTTAAGGAAGGTAGATTGGGCTGATTCCAAACTCTCACTGGGTGGTCAAATGAGTTACATTTGTTCTGTACCAATGAGAGATTTGAATGAGGCCCAGAATATTAAAATAAATCAGAACACCACAGACTATTGTTGGGTAAGGACACAATTGCCTTGTGGTGGCTAGACCCTTGATGAATACATATCTGAACAATATAGGGGCGATGGCTATCAAGAAGTAATTGCAGTCAACTAGTTATAAAAGAATAATAAAACAAAAACAAAACAGTAATCCATTCTGGATTGATACTATAATGTTCAAATGAGATTGTAAACTCATTAGGACAGGGACTATGTCATCCCACAATAGGCCTTTAGACATTACCAAAGTAAAAAACCCTTATTCAACTCAGAGAAGAAAAAAAAAAAGACAGTTTAATAGTCATGGTGCACAAGAGAGTCAGAACACCTAGTATATTCCAATATGTGAAAAAGTGATTACTACAAATGTTCAGAGTGATGGAAAAATATTGGCTCAACTAGATAAGGTCTGACTAACAGTGGTAGTTATTGTGTCTGGATTCTGTAAATCTAAGGATGTAGGTCAATAAAAAGGACCATTTAAAATTACGAAACAAGTTAATAAACAGTGAAAATGGGGACTAGAAAGCAGTTTTTGCCTGCCAGATATAATGTTTTGTTAATTTGCTTATTGGGAAAACAAATACTCACTCTGCTTTCACCATAAAATTATGCATTTAATGTGGCTAGTATCCTAAACTTCATCTTACATCAATCTTTACCACCATGTAAATAAATGAGCAGCTTTTGCAACCTGGCAAAATACGTGTAGCTAAAATTCTTTACAAAGACATCCAAGTTCTGCTTCTCTGGGGAGAAATCGGAGGGTTATATTTATATCTGATCTTTCCAACGACATAACTAAATTATCACTTTGCACCTATTTTCTGTCAAAACTTGTTTTTCAATATATTGGTGGAAATAATACTGCTTTTAAACCCACCTCCTGCATTTTAAAATAGTTTGAATGTAGTTTTGAATGGAATGGAATTCAAATAAAAAAAAAAAAGACAATGGATGGAGAATAACACTCAGAAGCAAAGAGAAACTTGTATTAACGAAACAAGGCTCATACCAAAGAATCACAAATTTACGTAATACAAGGAAAATCTAATCTAGCCATTTTAAAGGCAATCAAAAGAAATCTTTTCTGTAATCTCAAACTACACACATTTAAAAAAAAAATTCCTCTCAGATCTGAGTGCACAAGGGTGAAAGGAGCTGGTCTCTTCATATCTAGACTTGGCAGGATTTGATTTAAATGGATAGAGGTCGGTAAATGTCGATTACAGCTGATACTGATGGATATTTTCCTCAGTTTTAGTGTAACCGTTGGACCAAGTACAGCTTCTCCTCCACACTTTGTGCCTACAGGAATTGACCTCAGTGGCGCTACAGCAGCACAGAGAGGTCGCTACAGCCCTGCTGTCATGGGAGGGAGCGAGTGGGGTCGTGACAGTAGAGCTGCAGAGGGCTCCCCTGTAAGGATGTGGTGCCAGTGACACTGGATCCCTGCAGGCTGTGGTCCATGTGGGGCAGAGTGGAGACCCCCATGGCCAGGACTGCAAGGAGGAGGAAGAGGACAAGCCCCCGGACAGGGAGGAAGCTACCCTGCTGCTGAATGTCTGTCCTTAGGTAGGAACCATTTGGCAACGGGGTAACCTCCCTCAGGGAACCCTCCTCCCCACAGTCCTGGTGAGGCACTCTCTGCTTTGCCTGGCTAGGACCACAACTTTCCTTGCACCTTGGGCGTGCAGGGTTTGGGTGTCACCGGCCCTTCAGCAGTGTAGGGAGCCCTCTGCAGCCCTACTGTCATAGCCACGTTCTTTCACCAGCTGGGAGTGCAAGGGGTCTCTGCTCAGCCTCACCAGGACTGTAGTCTTCCCCACACCTTATGCCTGCAGAAGCTGCGTGTCACTGGCTCCACAGCCGTGCTGGGAGTCCTCTGCAGCATGACCTTGCTCACTCACCCACCAGGCAGGAGCACAGGGGCCATTGCTGAGCAAGAGCTATTCAGCACCGGTGTGGCCTCCCCGACAGCTTTGTCTTCTTCCTGTCCCATGGAGCAGAGACCCCTGGCCAGGACCACAGCCTCATCTGCACCATGTACTACAGTGTCTTGGGCCCCTTGGCCATGCAGGGAGCCCCCTGCAATTCTGTTTTCAGCACTGCCCTAACTCCAACCTACCCTTAAATTCCTGCAACTATAAAACTAAATATAGTTAAAAATAGAATAAAAAATAATTTAAAAAAATGTACAATTGTCAAAATTACAAAAAAAAATTCTACCAAGCCTATTCATATAAATTCTTAAAAAATAATGGACAAGTTAATAATAAAGAATCCATGCCAAGTTAAGAGTTACCTCACAGGGCTCATCTTATTAAAAGTAGCTCCTTTCACCTTTCTCTGCCCCCTAACTTTATTATTTATTTTTACCTGTGGTAGCGGTAATTCTTGCTTCTATTTCAGACATGTCAGCACTCATCCTCTTGCCTTCTCCTGAAACAAGAGTTGACTGTGGTCGTCCACGAACATCTGATAAGCTTTCCACGCTGCTCCCGCGAGATGGAGGTAAACTCAAACGGCCAGGGTCACCCTGTTAAAACAGTGTTACATTTTCAATAGGGCTGGCAAGTGATTAAAAAATCGTGTTAATCGTGCTGTTAAACAATAGACTACATTTAATTTAAATATTTTTAGATGTTTTCTACATTTTCAATTACAATACAGAATAAAAAGTGTACAGTGCTCACTTTATATTATTTTTATTACAAATATTTGCACTGTAAAAATGATAAAAGAAATAGTATTTTTCAATTCACCTAGTACTGTAGTGCAATCTCTATCATGAAAGTTGAAATTACAAATGTAAAACCATGTAAAACTTTAGAGCCTACAAGTCCACTCAGTCCTACTACTTGTTCAGCCAATCGCTCAGACAAACAAGTTTATTTACATAAAATGACAAAATTAGAAAGGTCAAGGCACAAAACGAGATCAAACTAGCTAGAAACATACAGGGTAACAAGAAAACATTCTACAAATACATTAGAAACAAGAGGAAGACCAAGGACAAGGTAGGCCCGTTAATCAATGAGGGGGGAAAACAACAGGAAATGTGGAAATGGCAGAGGTGCTTAATGACTTCTTTGTTTCAGTTTTCACCAAGAAGGTTGGCGGTGATTGGATGTCTAACATAGTGAATGTCAGTGAAAATGAGGTAAGATCAGAGGCTAAAATAGGAAAAGAGCAAATTAAAAATTACTTAAACAAGTTTAGATGTCTTCAAGTCACCAGGGCCTGATGAAATGCCTCCTAGAATACTCAAGGAGTTGACTGGGGAGATATCTGAGCAATTATCTTTGAAAAGTCATGGAAGACGGGAGAGATTCCAGAAGACTGGAAAAGAGCAAATATAGTGCCAATCTATAAAAAGGGAAATAAGGACAACCCAGGGAATTACAAACCAGTCAGCTTAACTTCTGTACCCAGAAAGATAATGGAGCAAATAATTAAGCAATTTGCAAACATCTAGAAGATAATAAGGTGATAAGTAACAGTCAGCATGGATTTGTCAAAAACAAATCATGTCAAACCAACCTGATAGCTTTCTTTGACAGGGTAACAAGCCTTGTGGATAGAAGGGAAGCGGTAGACGTGGTATATCTTGACTTTAGTAAAGCTTTTGATACTGTCTCGCATGACTGTCTCATAAACAAACTAGGGAAACGTAACCTAGATGGAGCTACAATAAGGTGGGTGCAAAACTGTTTGGAAAACTGTTCCCAGAGAGTATTTATCAGTGGTTCAGAGTCATGCTGGAAGGGTATAACAAGGGGGGTCCTGCAGGGATCAGTTCTGGGTCCGGTTCTGTTCAATATTTAGATAATGGCATAGAGCAGACTTAAAGTTTGCAGACGATAGCAAGCTGGGAGGAGTTGCAAGTGCTTTGGAGAATAGGATTAAATTTCAAAATGATCTGGACAAACTGTAGAAATGGTCTGAAGTAAATAGGATGAAATTCAATAAGGATAAATGCAAAGTACTGCATTTAGGAAGGAACAATCAGTTGCACACATACAAAATGGGAAATGACTGCCTAGGAAGGAGTACTGCGGAAAGAGATCTGGGGGTCATAGTGGATCATAAGCTAAATATGAGTCAACAGTGTAACGCTGTTGCAAAAAAAGCAAACATCATTCTGGGATGTATTAGCAGGACTGTTGTAAGAAAGACATTAGAAGTAATTCTTCTGCTCTACTCCACGCTGATTAGGCCTCAACTACAGTATTGTGTCCAGTTCTGGGCGCTATATTTCAGGAAAGATGTAGACAAATTGGAGAGTCCAGAGAAAAGCGACAAAAATGATTAAAGGTCTAGAAAACAAGACCTGTGAGGGAAGATTGAAAAAATTGGGTTTGTTTAGTCTGGAAAAGAGAAGACTGAGAGGGGACATGATAACAGTTTTCAAGTATGTAAAGGGTTGTTACAAAGAGGAGGAAGAAAAATTGTTTTTCTTAACCTCTGAGGATAGGACAAGAAGCAATGGGCTTAAATTGCAGCAAGGGAGGTTTAGGTTGGACATTAGGAAAAACTTCCTGTCAGGGTGGTTAAGCATTGGAATAAATTGCCTAGGGAGGTTGTGGAGTCTCCGTCATTGGAGATTTTTAAGAGCAGGTTAGACAAACACCTGTCAGGAATAATACTTAGTCCTGCCATGAGTGCAGGGGACTGGACTAGATGACCTCTCGAGGTCCCTTCCAGTTCTATGAGTCTATTCTATGATTCGCAGGAGATAATGGTGCCCGCTTCTTGTTTACTGAAAGTGAGAACAGGCGTTTGTATGGCACTGTTGTAGCCGGCATCGCAAGATATTTATGTACTAGATGCGCTAAAGATTCCTATGTCCCTTTATGCTTCAACCACCATACCAGAGGACATGCGTCCATGCTGATGATGGGTTCTGCTCGATAAAGATCCAAAGCAGTGCAGAACAATGCATATTCATTTTCATCATCTGAGTCAGATGCCATCAGCAGAAGTTTGATTTTTTTTTTTTTTTTGGTGGTGGTTTGGGCTCTGTAGTTTCTGCATCGGAGTGTTACTCTTTTAAGACTTCTGAAAGCGTGCTCCCTATCTCATCCCTCTCAGATTTTGGAAGGCCCTTCAGATTCTTAAACATTGGGTTGAGTGCTGTAGCTGTCTTTAGAAATCTCACATTGGTACCTTCTTTGCCTTTTGCAGTGAAAGTGTTCTTAAAACGAACAAACAACAAACTGTTATAATATGAAATATATGGCAGAATGTAGGTAAAACAGAGCAGGAGACATGCAATTCTCTCCCAAGGAATTCAGTCAAAAATTTAAATAACACATTTTTTCATTAGCATGGAAGCATGTCCTCTGGAATGGTGGCTGAGGCACAAAGGGGCATCCGTACGAATGTTTAGTATATCTGGCACATAAATACTTTGCAATCCAGGTTACAAAAGTGCCATGCGAATGCCTGTTCTCACTTTCGGGTGACATTGTTTTAATAAGAAGCAGGCAGCATTATCTCCCGTAAATGTAAACAAACTTGTTTGTCTTAGGGTACGTCTATACTTACACGCTGGTTCGGCGGCAAGCAATTGATCTTCTGGGATCGATTTATCGCGTCTTGTCTAGACGTGATAAATCGATCCCGGAAGTGCTCGCCATCGACGCCGGTAATCCTGCGCCGCGAGAGGAGTAGGCGGAGTCGACGGGGGAGCCTGCCTGCCGCGTGTGGACCCGCGGTAAGTACCTTTAAGTTCGAACTAAGATACTTCGACTTCAGCTACGTTATTCACGTAGCTGAAGTTGCGTATCTTAGTTCGAACTGGGGGGCTTAGTGTGGACCAGCCCTTAGTGATTGGCTCTGAAGTAGGACTGAGTGGACTTGTAAGTTCTAAAGTTTTACATTGTTTTGTTTTTGAGTGCAGTTATGTAACAAAAAAAGGCTACATTTGTAAGTTGCACTTTCACGATAGACTGCACTACAGAACTTGTATGAGATGAACTGAAAAATACAATTTCTTTTATCATTTTTACAGTGCAAATATTTGTAATAAAAATAAAGTGAGCACTGTACACTTTATATTCTGTATTGCAACTGAAAACAATATATTTGAAAATATAGAAAACCATCCAAAATATTTAATAAATTTCAATATTCTATTTTTTAACAGTGCGATTAAAACTAATTGATCATGATTGATTTTTTTAAATCAAGATTAATTTTTTGAGTTACTTGAGTGAGTTAACTGTGATTAATCGACAGCCCTAATTTTAAAATAAGTGTTTCTCCAGAAGACTTAACAAGTGACTTCTGAGCTTACACCTGTATTCAGAAATCAGCAGTTAAGAACAGTGATAAGAGAAATATCCCCAGTATATTTCTGTAGTAAATACTTATACTGTGGTATTTTTAATTAAATTGTATTTTTAAACAAAAATTGTATAACCAATAATTATAGTATACACAGACAGCACCATATATGTTGTGATTTTGAAAAGCACTCAGCATTGGCCTAACTCTGCTCTCACTAAAGTCTTCTGATTGAAGATTTACAGTAGAACCTCAAAGTTACGAAACAGCAGAGTTATGAACTGACCAGTTGACCAGATACTTCATTTGGAACAGGAAATGCACAATCAGGCAGGAGCAGACACAAAAATGCAAATACAGTTCTGTGTTAAACGTAAACTACTAAAAAAAAGGGAAAGCAGCATTTTTGTTCTGCATAGTAAATTTTCAAAACTGTATTAACTCAACGTTCAGTTGTAAAGTTTTGAAAGAGCAACTATAACATTTTGTTCAGTTATGAACATTTCAGGAGTTACAAACAACCTCCATTCCCGAGGTGTTTGTAACTCTGAGGTTGTACTTTAGCTCTATTTTTCCATTGTAATATAAACTGTGGATATATTTTCATTATTCAAATACATGTCTACATTTTTTTTTTTGACTCATACCAATCTCTTAGTCTCAATGTCTTCTTGTAGCAATGAGTTCCACATGTCACTTAGATACTGTTTATAAAGCATTTCCTTTCATCAATTTTAAATTTGCTGACTGAAGCTTTCACTGAATGTGTACTATGAGAAAAGATAAATAGGAGCTCCCTGATTTATCTTCTTAGTATCATTTCTGATTTGGTATACCTCTCCTGTTCCCTTATTCCTCTCCTCCCTAAACTACGAAATCCCAATCTCTCATTGGTTCTGAAAGGAAAAAAGACAGACACTAGTGTGCCTCCATGCTTAGCTATGTATATGATGTATTTTGTCTTCCCGTTCCCGCCCCGAAGGAACAGTCTCCTTTTGCTCTTAATATCACCTTGACTTTCTCATCTTCTCTCTTTTTCTGCTCCCCTGGACATGCTGCTTTGCTCCTGCTCCTTCTACTCCTTCCCCGCTACCATGGTCATGCTAGCTAGCTGGCTGGCTGCCATTGTACTCTACTCTCCCACTGCCCGCACTCGTATACCTTCTTGAGGAATCTCTTGGCTCTTCTCTCAGTGGTGGCCAACAACCCTGAAGGGGGCAACTGTTTACATTCCTTTCTACCTCCCCTTTGCACCACTAGGTCCTATGGAGACAACTAGACATGCTCCTTATTTCTATCTGCTTTTACAGATAAGCCTCACCACTAATAAGAATTTTTTTTTTTAAAAGCAGCTGTAAATGGGGAGTCAGCATCATATGTTCTCCATGGACCATCAGTAAGTGCAGAGTGGACCATAGATTTAGAGATGCTGATGTACTACATTATCCTTGGGGTTACTTACTTACTGCCCTTTATTGAATAGAAAAGCTTATTGTTATGAAAAAAACTCTTGTATTTTAGAGCAGTGTGGTTTTAATATAGTGATTTTATCCATCTAATGGCAATTTCATCATTAAGGCACAAGATTTTATTCACTTGCTTACCGACTGCTTCGCTGAATTTTTCATTTGCTGTGCCAGTTTTGATTCTAAGCGTTTAATGGTATCATTGGTAGCAGTTCCTTGAAAGTCACTTGGTTCCATGTTAGCATCACTCTTGTTACTGGTGTTTGTAGAAGTCATGTCCATGAACGAGCCTATTTAAAAGCCCGCCCCCCAAAATAAACATTTTTTCTATTTAAATCACTTCTTTGAAAAACATTAAATCAAACTGAAATTCTTTAGCTACCCATTCTTATTCCCCTAATACCAACCTTATAATTTTAAAGTAAATTTTTAAAACATTAGACAAAGGAAACTGCAGCACTGCAGTTTAAAAAACAAAAACCAACCTCTTAAGAATATAGCTCAAAAGCAAAAAATTCATAACAAAATATTTTTCCTTGCTTGAACAGCAAGTTTACCCCTGATCTTAAAGTCAAGCTTTAGCTACTAATCTTAAATCATTAACAAAAATCTTGGATTATGAACACGATTGGTAGTTTTTCTCCTAAAATCCATCAGGAATCCTACTGTATAATGAAAATATATTTGTAGGATAAGCATACTTAAAACACTGATTTACAAATTGCAAGTAATAGATTTAAAACTTTATTTTCTTAAGTATGTTAAGTATGCTAAACATGTTTCATGTAGTCTGGCTAGAGAAGACCATCAAGTATATAACAGAGTTGATGGGATTTTGCAATAAAATGTACAGGTGAATTCAAAAGTACCTTATGTCCAAAATATTCTGTGTGCGAGAGAGAAATTTAGAGTTTGGGGGCAGAGAGAAGAAGGCGGGTATGGACAACTGTAGTTGTTAAGTTACAAGAACCCAAGGGAATGCGGAAAATAGGGCAAAATTTCAGAAAGGGAGCATTTAAATTTTTTTCCCCATGCAAAATGCAGTGGGTCTGAGTGATCAACAGTTTTGTGCACCAGGAAAGAATTTCTCTCGAGGCAAGATTGGTAGAATGTCTGGTGGGTATTTTTACCTTCCTCATGGCACCCTGAGGGCCCCTTTTTTAGGTTAATAGGAGGTAAAGAAAAGTTGTATGTTTAATCAGTGGAATCTGTAATTTCATCAAAATTTGATGAGGGTGTCCAGTGCAGAAGAGAGGCTCGAAGGGACCAGCTGACAGGGGCAAACATGAGTAAGATCTGAGAGATGACTATTGGACCCTAATAACCTGCAGGAAAAAAGGGAGACCCTACGTCTTTGTAGACTGAGTTATCCTTCATGTTACCACCCTCATTCTCCATTGTGGGAGGAGGGCAAGGGGATTCAGAGATTGCCTGAACCCTAGGGATTAGGCTGAAGGAAGCAAGACTTGAATATTTGTTATGAGGCCCTTTACCACAGCATTGAACCAGGCATTTAGGAAGGGGTTTCAGGCTGCACTTTATAATACATTCCTGGATCTGTTTCATTTCCCTGCTTATCCTGTTTAAAAAGTGTGGGTTTTATTCTTATATTTATACAATCATACCTGTACTAGTGGCAGAGTTGCTCTGGCCTTCATCTGAATACTGACAAGGATACTGCAGAGGTTCATCAGCTCCTGGAAAGTACTGTGTAGAGAGTAAATTGTTATGTATTAACATAATTAATGCTTTCAAAGTACATAAAGCAGCAATAGAGGTAGCATACACCTCAACAGATCCTAGTTCTCTGAATAAATGCAGAGGAAAAAAAAGATAATTTGAGAATGCTATGTTGTTTAACTGCAGAACCATCTGCAACAACTCAAGTCTTGCTTTTTCAGTAACACTCCTTCCTCACACCTCCCAAAAACAAAGCACACAAACCTATTTTTATTAAGTGCCTTCAGACAGATTTGTTATGTATTTTAAGAAAAATGCAGCATAATGGAAGCCACTTACAATAGCATAAATCAGGCAAGGTACAGTTTAATTCAGCATAAGGATGGGCTGATACACATTCTATTCTAGTGGATATTAGGGAGTTTTGTCAGGGAAAGTAAGTTAGCAGTTAAGAAGAGAGAGGATGGAAAATGAAACCACATATTGAACCACATATTGAGAATAAACCCTCTATGGCTTAATGGCACAAGCCATTCAAACACTCTTTTTGTTTAGCTTATTTAGACACCTGGTAGTGCTCACTACCTAAAAAATGGCTAAATTTCTGTGAACTTGATCACCAATATGACTAATACAAACAAATCTGTTGGGGATAATAATGCAAATAAAAACTATTTTTAAATTTCTAATTATTCTTGTTCACTTGCATTCAGCATAAAGATATTCAGATTGGCACATGTCTGAGTAATACATGTGCTACCTCTATGAAGAACATTTTGTTTGGCTTAGCTAATGTATTTTCATTTTGATTTGTATTTCTGAAATTTAGCAAAACAAATGAATACTGTTATTCTTCAGGATCAGATTTCTGAAGGAAATTAAGTTGAATTAGCAGTGATACTGATGAAGATAGGTAATACACCCTTAGCTAGATTCTGTTCCTGAAGTTTGCAAAGTTACCATGCAAGTGCCTATTTTTTCCTTAAAGCAGTGGTCTCCAAAGTGGGGTGCGGCAGGAAGAGCGCTTTTGGGGGGAGGGGGGGGCGCTTCGGCAGTCCAAGCGGCTTTTTTTTTTTTTTTTTTTTTTTTTTGCTTCAGAAAAAATGGTAGAGCCGGCGGGGCAGGGGGGTGCATGCTCAAAATTTTTTTACTGATAGGGGTACGCGATCAAAAAAGTTTAGAGACCACTGCCTTAAAGGAGCCAATGAAGGTCCTGAAACTACAGAGCAGCTATCAACATCTCAATGCTCATAAAAATGGCAGAGAAACTAAAATAGTAAAATACTTGAGTAACTATAACTTTGTAAGGTCAAACCAGAACATCTGTAAAAAACCTCACATGATCCTACAGCCTCTAACAGTTTTTAAGAGTCTTTTCAGCAAGTCGTGTGGTATAAGCGTTGAGGAAAAATCTTTAGGGACTGGAGATACAACTTAGAACAACAGATACAACACTAGGCTCATGGAAGGCATACCTTCAAAAGCCAATACTACAACATAACCCGTTAAATTATTTACAGATAAAAAAAAAAAAAAAAAAAAAAAAAAATTTCCAAAAAAAAAACAACCATTTTATAAAAAAAAAAAAAAAAAGTCACCAATCATTTATTCTATTTTTTCTTATTTGTTTATATTACATACTCATTAGAAAATTACATCTAGGTAAGCATAAGTAAAAAGAGAGTTGTCTTTCAATAATGCTCCGAATGCACTCTATGTCTGGTCAGTTTATGAATATATTTAAACTACAAGAGGAAAACAGAAAAAATAGAAACAGCAGCACTTTAGATAGTGTTTTCCTCACCTAGCTTCCCCTGCAGACAGAGTGGAAAATTTAACAACAGTGCTTTACATCTTCAAACTAATATTTATATTATCGTTGCACCTAGGAGTCTCAAGTCATGGACCAGGATCCCATTGTGCTAGGTGATGTCCAAACACAGAACAGATAGTCCCTGACCCAAAGAACTTCGTCTAAAACAAGAGACAATAGATCGATACAGAGAGTTGGGAAGATACAGGGAAACAATGAGACAATACTGGTCATCATGATAGCCAGTGATTTCAGTACAACAGTAGTCTAGCTGTTGTCAGGTTTTGTATAGGTCTCACAGAAAAGCAGAGTTTTAAGGAGGAAAATGAGTTAGCTTAGTGGATCTCTACAGGGAATGTCTCCTAGATAAATGGCTGGTTTTTCAGAAGTGACGAGCAACAAGATCTCCTAGTAACGTAATCAAATAAGCATTTTTGAAAAACCAAGCCAGTTATTTAGCACTTAGGACACAAACTTTGGGTATCCTGGTTTGAAAATCTTAGCTAGCGTTACATTCAACTTCAATTTTGGCCATTTTATTTTTTGAGACAGGTGATCTGTATCTCACTTATTGCTCATTCAGGATGAATGGAATACTTCACTATCACAACAAAAATAAATTGATGGTTGTTCTCCCTATTAATTCATACATCATAATTACATGTAGCACTGTCAGTAAGCACAGTCTAACAGACAAGAAAGAGAACCAAAAATGAACTTGGTCAGAAGCAAGAGTGCTTAAGTATTAATTATTAATGACAACACAATCTACAGTGAGATATCAAACTGCCACCTACTGAACAATGAATAATTTTGCAAATATGAAATAATTAATAGCGTTACATGTCAAATATACAATTTAACTTTAAATGCACCAAAATGAAAAAAAAATTTCAACTCACCATTGTGAACTGCCCACATTATGCGGAAAGCAGGGCCACCAATCTCATCAAAAGGTTTCCTACGGGTGATCACTTCCCAAAGAATAATACCCCAACTGAATACATCACATTTTTCACTGTAATTGCTACCTGGAAAAAAAAATCATCAATATAACTTGTCTTTCCTACATGATATGTGCCTACAAGTTTAGAGAACTAGCTATGTATGCTTCAGTTTTCCTTCAGAGTAGAATAACTTTTTGTTTTTCACAGAGAGAAAACAGCAGTCATAAGTCCACTCGATACCAATTTTTTAAAAACTTCTAATTTACCCAGAGTAAATTTGAAAAAAACTTTTATAGAAAACATTTGTTTCAAGGTTTTAAAAACCCTTTTGCTATTATTGCCAATATGTTTAACTAAGAGTTCTCTTCTTTGCAAACTAGTTCCTTCATAAAACTTATAAAACACATAATGCTTAGGACAGTCTTGTTCTGAAATATCAAATGTGATTTTATTATGATCATCAATCTCTCAAATTTAGCATTATTTCATTGTCATTTTGACTATCTGTGCCTCCTTTAAATCTTTCTCCTAAATTCACTTCTTCCATAATGGCCACAGTAAATCAGTCATCATTCACCATCATCTATCATTTTTATATTTAAAAACAAGATGTCCTTAAAAGAACCAGCAAGATGTGCCCATGCCTATACTAAGTAACCATGTGATCATGTCACTGTATCTCTGTTTTCATCACCCCAATTCCTCCCTGTTTATTATCCTCACTCATTTTTTCGTGCCTAAAGTTTAGTTTCAAGTACTTTGGGGCTGGGATTGAGCCTTTCTAGGTGTCTCATGAAGCATACAGTAGACGTTGGGTGATATAAAATAATGAATACTAATAAAGCTCAGAGAGGGAGACGAGAGACTACAAAAGGATAAATACTTTGTTAATTAGAGAAAGCCATGAATGTCTTAAATAGACATGAATGATAAACAAATTCAAGATATAAAGTATGTAAATAACAGCACTATGAATTTATCCTTTCTGGTCAATATCTGAAACAAGAATGACATTAACTACCTAATAAAGAGTCTGTTCTGTTTTCTCAGGAAACATATGGAAAAACAATCTAATAATTTAAAGAGACACTTCTATACAGAATTTCTTTATATAGGAAGACACCATGTGACATAGGATAGTGGCATATACATGCTGCACTACAGCTTGCTCAACTATTTTACTTCTAGAGACAGTTTTGAGTTTATAGTACTTCCTCCCTCCTTACTTTAGAATGACATTTATTTATTTAAATTTAAATAATAAAAAGGCACGTATATAAAGCTCTAGGAGCCCGGACACATATTTAATATTGCAACAAAACCCCAGCAGCATTGAAGTAATTATTTCACAAGGAATTCTGACAGACTGCCATTTACAAATAAAAGCTTCTTTCTATTCTTATCATTCTGATAAGAATAGCTTCAGTTTTCTCCAAAGACCTATCAAACAGATATGAGAAAATTTAGAAATTGTTGAGTTAGATGCAGATTGGCTTAGGTTTTGTTCTGATTTTATTGTTGATATCTGAGGTAGTAATTAATGCATATAAATTGTTAAAAATTAAAAATTTTAACATTGGTTTAATAAAGTTGAATGACCATTGTATTTCAATATATTAATTTGAAATTTTACATTCCACCATTTTCAGACATAAGGTATTCAATCATTTTGTGTAATGTGTTTCAATGGTGCCAATACAAATTTTGGGAAACAAAAATATATAAAAATTGCTGTATAAAAGGCTTGCTGCAGTACTAAAAGCAGGAAATTTAGAACTGAAATTTTACATGTTCCTACTTAGTTGAATTTATGGACTGGTCACTAAGAAGTGGATGACTTAGCATTTGCACTGGAATTCCTAGTAACAGCGAGGCTTTTAAATGTAGCCCTTAATCCAATTTAAAAATCAGGATTTTCTTTGGGGTTATTTTTCTTTTTTAAAATCAGCTCTTCAACTTTTTTTTTTTTTTAAAAAGGAAAAGAAACTAACTTCTAGTGGCAAATGAACGCTAAGAATAAGTTTTGGCCAATATCTGAAGTGAACAAGGAGGTATGCCCAGGGCAGTTTCTGGTAAACTGATACTTGTAGCACAGAAACTGACATAAAATTGCCAGTCTTAGGAGAGAGATTAAGGACTGAATGACTATGGTGATTTAACTAGAGGCCTAATCTATACTTAAAATTTAGGTTGACATAGCTGGTCAGGGGTGTTAAACTGATCGCGGACCAATGTAGCTTTGTTGACCTAACCCCAAGTGTAGATACAGATATGTTGATGGAGGACTGCTTCCATTGACCTAAGTACCCGCACGTGGTGCTTCTGCACCAATGGAAACACCCCTTTCCATCAGTGTAGGTTATGCCTACACTTCAGGGTTATGCTGGCATAGCTATGGTGATGTCAGTATGCCACATTAGTCTCAGCATAGACATACTCTAAAATGTTCATGCTCAGAAGTCCAGAACATCTGACCAGAGCCTACGGATATTGTTGTGGAGAAGCTTTAAAGGCAGGTGGTTGTCTGTGCTTTTTTCAGGTGGCTACCCAGACTTTCTTTTTACAGTATTATCAATTTGATACTTTTCTGGAAAACTTAATTCACTATTAAGACCTCTAGGGAAAAACAAAACATACACAAAAAACCTGCTCTAACCATCCACAATTAAACTTTTAATGAAACTTTTACTCACTCACAGGGGGGCAAAATCAGCACCAGTTAATCACTGGTCTGAAAGTGGTCTGATGTGCATAATGACCGAGCTATTCCCCATTTAACCACACAGTAATTACACAAATCCTTGTGATTTTATTGTATACCATCACTGGGCTTCCCCACCATATGCCAACAAATCGCTTTTGATTCCTCTTCCCACTTAAATATTAAATACAAATTAATTTTTTAAAATGAATTGTTTATAGGATGAGAGGAGAAGAAGAGGTGAACTAAACTTCAAGGGATAAGGAAGAGAAGGAAGATATAGGGAAAAATGGGGATAGGTGGAATTACAAGGTAGGGAGGGATCAAAAATGGAGGTGGCTATGCTTGTTCGACAATATACATGGCGAATTCTGAAGACCATAGCGAATCAGAATATGGGGTGAAAGGAATGACAACATATTTCAGTGCAATAAGAATTTGGGATTATTTTGTAATCTCAGAAACAACAATATCCCAGGATGGTAACTCCAAACAAGATGCATAATTTACTGTTACAGTCTATTTGGTTTTGCCATTTGTGAACTCCTAAGTATCAAACTTTTCCCCATTTGTGTGAATTCCTTTCCTAAAGATACTTGTACAGTAGTCTTTGTCCCTAGTTTTTAAATGTAAATTAAATACTTTCCCCCCCAAGTTATTTTTAATCTTTAAAATTTATTTCTATATTTTATAATGCAATTTAACAGAAATGATGCATGTAAATGATGCTCTCACAACTGATTTCTTATATCAAATCATTCAAAATAATGTCCTTAAGTAGAGGAATACATGTCAAACTGTACATTATTTTGTTACCTTCAAAAACTTCAGGTGCCATCCAGGCAGCACTTCCCTTATTGTTGGTCATGTGTGTTTGAATATCACAGGCTGTACCAAAGTCACAGATTTTTAGAACTGTCCCCCCAGCTACCAACAGCAAGCTGTCAAGAAAATCCCAAAACATTTTTTATAGAATTCAGTAGTCTTGGTACAATAATAAAACATTACTATTTTATTCCAACAACTTTCACTTGAGGCCTTGCTTCACAGTACTGTATAGTAACATGGCAAAACTTGTTCATCTAAGTATAAATATATTCTTAAAAATTACTATAGTATATCAGTAGGCTGTGACTTGCTAATTATGATAAACTGCAGAATTTTAATTTTTAATCTTTATAGCTCTATTTGAAATATGTTTAAATAGAAAACAGTTTCTTTGGAATAATTATTTCAATCCACTAAGCACCCAATGGAGACAAAATTAGCCATTTATATGCTGATTCACAAACATTTTATATAGGCTCTGCAGACAGGAGGCCAGCCATCATGGCTGCTATCTTGCCAGAAGGGGAGTGATCAGGACTCCCATTAGGGCCAGCCAATGCTGCTTTTTCTTCAAATGGAAGGATTGCCTATGGATGAGCGTTGGGGAAGGAAAAAGGCATTGGAGCATCAAATGCAGGTTCTCCTGCAAAACAATGCAGGCCACTTGAAGTAGACCTCAACGCCTTTTTAATTTCCCCATTCAGGTAACCAGGTCCCTACTAAAAACCCACTTCCATGATATGGGGCAAGAACAGGCTCTATGTCTGCATAACATGCAGTACTGAAAACACGATTAGTGGTACACAAAACAATCAGCGTGTCTTGATTTTATAACTGAAATTTAAAACCCATATAGATTCAAAATTACTTTATATCTAATAAATAAAAGTTATCGATTAACGTTTTCCTCCAAATCCACTGGAGGAAACAGGATAAAGAGAAACCCCAAGTTGCAATTTTAAGAAAAAATGGTTTAACTCTGACTAGAAACCTACTTTGGCGGTTTCAGGTCCCTGTGAATTAGAGCCTTTGGTTTCATGCTGTGGAGATATGCCACTCCTTGGGAACATTGTAAACACCAACTCATTGCATGTGCAGCAGTATAATAAGGCAGAGGCTCAGCACCATGCAGCACTGCAAAACAAAGGCACAAACTAAAAAGAACTTTATTGCATATTACCATAGAAACAATGGGGTTAACAACATACCAGTAACAAGCTCTATGACATTCAACTAGTTATTTACACGCATTCTTTAGCGTTGCTGTTGAAATCTCTTTTTATATTGTTGAACTTTATATATCACTATTAATGGAAGTTACCTGAATAGTGATTTCCAAAGTTTTTAAAATGGTACTTAGTTCATTAGCAAATATTTATACACACAAATTCTGCCACTTCATTGCTAGTTATAAAATAAAGTCAATCATTTTCAGCTGTATCTGGTGTGGTCGGTATTAAATGATCACTCAAGAAATTGACAAGAAGTTGAAGGTGGTCACTTAATAAAGCCAGAGATTTTTACAGGGAAAAATGAAAGGAGTCACAAAATTTAAACCATTTATTTGCTATCAAAAAATTAGATGATTAAAAAGCGTTTTTAAACTATTCTGGTTGTAAAATGCTCTTTAAAATAAACATTAAGCCCATTTTATATTTTAAGAAAAGGGTCTCCTAACACTAACACTGCAGGAAGACACCATGTTTAAATGATACTCACCATTGTACAGAGAACCTCCTTCAGCATACTCCATAACAAGACACACCTTTGGGGGAGAGGACAAAACATAGGGATGTTTTAAAGTGCAGTGTAGGGGCAGATAATAGGTTTTGTAGGGTTACCATATTTAAAAAATAAAAAAAAAGAGGACACTCCACAGGGCCCTGGCCCCGCCCCTTTCCCACCCCCTGGCCCCACCCCAACTCCGCCCCTTCCCCAACTCCCCCTCCTCCCTCCCAGCCATGCGAAAAGGGCTGCCTGAGCACTACCGGCTTCACGGTTTGCCAGAGCAGCTGGAGCCCGGGAGGGGAAGCGCCCAGCCCGGGTCGCAGGGTCTGGAGGCTGCCCGGCAAACCGTGAAGCCGGTAGCGCTCGGGCTTTGGGCAGCCCCCATGCCTCCGGACCCTGTGCCCCTGGCCGGGCACTTCCCCTCCCGGGCTCCAGCTGCTCTGCTCCTCCCCTGACTCTTCGGCTCTGTT